ACATTCAGTGGTGAACGGTGTAAAACAGGGACCTGCTGCGGCCAGATAGCCCGGGGCAAAGGCCCCCCTCGCTGCATCTGGAAGGATAAAGCCAGGGCACCAGTGGGTGAAGTGTGAGGAAGATCAGACCGCCCACATTGGATAGAGACATGGCTCCATTTTCTGATCAAGATAGAAAACGGTGGCTCTACCAGACGTAAAACAGCAGGACCCGTGTGATGATGACCCTGTCTGAGAACTGAGCAGGAGGCAGGGACAGACGCGGAAATGGAAAGTGTTGTCCTGTCCAAAGAGGCAGTATCACCGGTTTCCCGGGAAGCCAGCCCACAGTTCCCTGACTATTTCCAAGCGAAGCCAGACCTTGATTTTGTGTGACTTCTGCCAATTCTAAATATTCACTCTAATTTTTAAAAATTATTTAAACTGAATAGAATGCCTGCCAGCCCGCTTTGATTGCAGCAGCCATTTCGGGCAGTCTAGAGAGGAACGCGCTATCCTCGGCTGATTATAATCAGCTATTATGAAGATGGTGCTTCCTGTGGTGACTGCAAACATTAGGCTGCCATCTGTCAGAAATCAGGGTCGACGTGAGCCGAGATCTGAATCACAAGCCAACTCCAGGGTGTTGCTGGGTGTCCGGTTGCCATTACTATTTATTTCTGCCTAACGGCTTCTTAAAATAAATTTCTAGGATAATAAAAGGGAGAGTATCTAGAGTACAGTTCATGTTCTAATCTTTAACACAAGAATGCAACTGACCGGAGCCTTTTTACAAGGCCTGATGAGAAAATGGAAAGAAAAGGCTTTTAACCCGAGTGACAGAGTGCCATTGATAAGTGCACTCTCGCTGGCCCGGGACCGGCGGTTTGACGTTCTGTCTTGACAGCTGACAGCTATGGAAGGCGGGGCCTGAATGCAGGCGCACCTCTGGAGGAGCTGGTGCCTGCGCGTGCTCCCTCACTGCTCCAGACTGCTGCGCAGGGGCCGTCCCTCGCCCCTTGCTCCTCGCTCTGCTCACGGGGTGACACCAGAGACGAGTGGGACCAGAAGAGGACAGCTGGAGTTGTGTGTTTATTTTTATTTATTTTATTTTTTTATCCTCACCCGAGGATATTTTTCCATTTTTTGTACAGATAGAGTGGGAGGGAGAGAGAGGAAGGGAGAGAGAGAGAGAAACATCGACGCGAAGGGACACATCGAGTGGCTGCCACCCGCACGACCAACCAGGGCCGGGGACAAACTGCAATTGAAGTACGTGCCCTCAGCGGGAACTGAACCCGGGTCTCTATGGACCGCAGGCCGACGCTCTAACCGCTGAGCCAAACCGGCCAGGGCTGGAGTTGTGTGTTTAGATTTTAAGTCAAAATAAGGTTGGAAGGGTTCCTTTATTTTTTTATTTTTATCCTCACCCGAGGACATTTTTGCATTTATCTTCAGATAAAGCAGGAGGGAGAGAGGGAAGGAGAGAGAGACACATGGACTGGTCGCCACCCACACGACCCCAACCGGGGTTGGGGACAAACTGCAACCGAGGTACATGCCCTTGGCAGGAACCAACCCCGGGACTCTCTGGTTTGCAGGCCGACGCTCTAACCACTGAGAAAACCGGCCAGGGCTGGAGGGGCTCCTTTGAAACAGAAGAGGCTCCCATAGGTATGGGCCCATATCTATGCTTTCTTGCTGCTCACCCTTTGCCGCAAAGACACTACCCTCCACCCTCATCTCATGTATGATTTGCAACTCACCTCCTCCAAAAACCACCTGAGGTAGCCTGCAAGCAGAGGCATGGATCTACCACAGAGCCGTGAGGTGACAGAGAGAAGAGGAAGTCAACTGTCGGTGGAGCTCCCAGTCTCTGCTGTTTTCTAACTACCTGGTTAATGGCCAAAGAACACTTTTGCTCCAGAGTTGCTTTAATCCGATCACTTTCCCAATCTCCACCCAACACAAGATGCTTAACAGCCCTGGCAAGTTTGGTTTAGCGGTTAGAGAGTCAGCTTGCGGTCCAGAGAGACCTGGGTTTGGTTCCCTCTAGGGGCACGTACCTTGGTTGCAGCTTGTCCCCAGCCCTGGTTGGGTTGTGTGGGTGGCAGCCACTCGATGTGTCCCTTTCATGACAATGTTCCTCTCTCTCTCTTCCTCTCTCTCCCTCCTACTTTATCTGAACAAAAAATGGGAAAATGTCCTCAGATGAGGATTAAAAAAAAAAAAAGATGCTTAACAATGGATTTTAAAGTTCTCCGTGTCCTAGCTCTGCCTTTACTTTTACTGCCTTGTCATCTCCTTGCAGATCAGTATTCTCTGCTGGGGCAGGTCTGATTACTTCTCACCCTCCCGACCTTTAATCTAAAGTATCAAACTACCCATGAAGCCTTTCCCCTTCTCTTTCCCCAAACGAGCAATCAGTTCTTTTCCAGAGTTGCATTTTATGAAGCTGCTTGTCACTGGGTGGGTTCTCTAGAAATAGACTTGAAGGTACAAACTGTTGCGATGCAACCTGTTGAGTTGCAAAATGTTCATTAGGGACAAACACCTGGGAAAGGAAGGGCAAGGCCATAGGACTGGCTGGGAGACAGTGATGTGGACTAGAGTTAGCTAGCTCAGCTAGCCGGGTGCATATCTCTGGGGTGCACACCACCTCTCAGAGGTGTCCCAGCTGGGGTTGGCTGGATTTTTATACCCCCTCCTTACTTAGTCACCAGATGCAGGCTGCCCCTAGAAGGGCATAACTTCTGGAAGGTGGCTCTCTGCAGCTGAGGCAGAGTCTAATGGAGCTGGTAGCCTGTGGCTGACTGTTGACCACATTCCTTACAGTTGGACAGCAAGTCCTTCTTGGAAACCTCTATGTTCACCACACTGCCCCAGGCTAATCCTACTGAAATCCATAATCCAAGGGCTCTTGCAACCCTGCAAGTGGACAAAATAAGCCCACTAGTCTGTAATGAATGTCTTCACACATCACTTTTCCCATCTCAGGCATCATGTTGCATATGTGCTAGAAAGTGATCCTAATTATCTTATCTGGCTGGATCCCTAGCACAGAGAGTTTCAATCAGAGATGCAGAAAAAGGTAGGCCAAGATATTTAGTTCTTAAATCCTTGAAGCATTCCGGGCAGGTGGCCTCCATAATGAGCAGCCTCTTCAATTTACCCCACTGTGCAGAATAAATACTGTAATATTTAAAACGTTGGGATGCATTGCCCTGGAGCTCTTTATTCTTGGCCTACATTCAGCCACTGACTGTGCATTACTGGGTATCTGCTCAGCGTCAGGCACCAAACGAACCACGGGACGAGAGTGGGAAACAGGTCATATAAGGTCGCTGTCACTGAGACACTTACAGTCTAGTGGAAAAGAAAGACTGAACAAGTAAACACAGAAACAGAATTAGAAACGGGATTCTCAGTGCATGTGTATCATCAAGTCCCTGAAGAGTTTCCCTGATATATGTGAGTGTAATTGTGTTATATATTAAATATTATGTATTATGTCCCTGTGAAATGTATTAGATAGATATAGATACATATGGACTTTAGGATATATATTGTGAGATATATATGTATATTTAGTTTCAAAAAGAACCATTCACACACATACCAAGAGAAAGAACTAGGAGTGTCACAGGAGGGGACAGCAGGGTAGGCGAGCCGGGAGGAACGGTAAGGGAGGAAGTCAGGGAGACTGGCAGGCAGCAGATTGGCAGAGCCCTGGAAGGCGTGCAATGGTATTTACATTTCATTTTAAGCGCAAGCAAAATCCACTGGGATATTTGTAAGCAATGCCTATGATGATCTGATTTACATTTTCACAAGAACACTAGCAGGGCGACAGCAGCGGTGACAGGAAGGCCATTGAAGAGTGTGCTGTAGCAGTCCAGACTGGAGGGGATACGGTTCACTGTGGATACTCACAGTGAAGGTGCAGAAGACTGAGGGATCCAAAGTATATTTTTAAACAAGACTCAAGCCTTCCTGCCCTCAAGATGTTCACACTCTGTTGGAAAGACAGACGTGCAAATAAATAATTTAATATAGCAATAGTCACTTTAATGAAAATAAAAATGGTACAGCTGGAGCACAGCATGGAGCACAGAACTCTTCCTGGGGGAGCCAGGGTGCGCACAGTCGTGTTGGAGCTGGGGATTCAAGCCTTAGGAAAGTGCTGAGCAAATGAACTGTGGGTGGTCCTGCCAGCAGAGGTGGCAGAGCGCAGGCCACGAGTATGTGCTGCACAGACCTCCACCAAGGGGGCCTGCGCCCACGAAACACCAGTCTCCATGTCTGTGCCGCCCAGTCTTTATCTCAACCACTGTGCTTTCACTTTCTATATAGAAATCTGTTTGCATGACTATTTTCTCCCCATATTTCAAGCTCCTGGAAGACAGTTTCTGTCTTGCTTGTGGCAATAAATATTTGTCTTTTTTTAAATATGTTTTTATTGATTTTTTTAGAGAGAGAGATAGTAATACTGATGTGAGAGAGAAACACCAATCGGCTGCTTCCTGCACAGCCCCCACCGGGGATCAAGCCCACAACCTGGGCATGTGCCCTGACCGGGAATCAAACCAGGACCTCTCAGTCCATGGAACGACACTCAATCCACTGAGCCACACTGGCTGGGCCAGTAAATATTTCTTGACAAATAAATAAGTCTTCTCTAATGATTGCACCACTAAATACTGAACATGTCTTCACTTTCCAGCCCTTCTCATTTATTTCACTTTGTGCTAAAATGTCAAAGGCATTGCCTTCAGGTGCGGTCTCTCCACTAGCTCCTGAGGGCAAAACTCCTGTTCCCTCCTTTTGTGCCTTCTCATGGGCCCCATGGACTGATCTGCATGCTCAAAGGGCCATCCAAAGACACTAAATGAAATGAGTATTTTAATCACATGCAGTAAGCAATTACTAATGAACTTTTATTCCTTTATTGGTTACCAGGATGATGAAGTGACTTTACCTGCTGCTGCTGAAGGGTTTCGTCTGCTTAATGCCGCCCCAGCATGTCTGCTGAAAGTAATCAGTCATCAGGAGAGTCATCACTTCACCCTCCCACCCCTTCCCAACAATCCACGCAGACCTTCTCTTCCGAGGAAGAGGATGCTAAGGCAGAAGCGGAGAATTCAAAGGAAGACTTTTCATTTTATGAAGAGGAAGAGTATCTGGAAGAGAATGAGGATCAGGGGGAGGAACAGTCCCTAGAGGAAGATGAGTATCTGGAGGAGGAAACATCTGTGGGGGAAGATGAGTATCTGGAGGAGGAACAGTCTCTAGAGGAAGATGAGCATCTGGAGGAGGAACAGTCTCTAGAGGAAGATGAGCATCTGGAGGAGGAACAGTCTCTAGAGGAAGATGAGCATCTGGAGGAGGAACAGTCTCTAGAGGAAGATGAGCATCTGGAGGAGGAACAGTCTCTAGAGGAAGATGACTATCTGGAGGAGCAAACGTATCTGAAAGGAAAAGAGTATCTGCATGAACAGGAATCTCTGAGAGAGAGAAATTATCTACAGAAGGAAAAGGATCTGAAAGAAAAGAAGGATTTATTTGAAGAAGAATATCTGGAAAGGGGTGAGTATCTGAAGGAGGGCCTCCCAAAAGATGGTAATGTTACTTCACCACAGTGCTCAGGAAACATAGAATAAACTTGAAATCTAGCCAAAGCTCAAATTTTTATCAACCCTACCCGTGGTGCTGACAGGTAGGAAGACTCATGACTGACTAGTTCTGCTCCCAGCTAAACTAGCTATACCCCAAGCACCAGGTCCACAGAGCAGACAGGGAGACTTGATGAACAGTACCTGTTTGTAAAAAAAAAAAAAAAAACTACACTAAAAACCCATCATTTTTATCTTTTTTTCCTTATTGCATAAGTAATACATGTTCATTGTGGATGTTTGAGAAACTACACAGAAGCAAAAAACAAAACAAAGCAAAAATATCTACCATCCAGAGATGATCATTTCTTTCACACTTTGGTTATATCGTCTCCAGACTTTATACAGTGTTAGCAATCTGCTTTTTAAGGTACATTTATTTATATACTTATATAGTAATTATAAATAAATAGTACATACTTAGATGAATATAATTTTATTTATTAAATTATCTACAAATCTCTTTCTTTCTTTCTTTCTTTCTTTCTTTCTTTCTTTCTTTCTTTCTTTCTTTCTTTCTTTCTTTTAATCCTTACCCGAGGATATTTTTCAATTTATCTCCAGATAGAGTAGGAGGGATGGAGAGAGAGGGAGAGAGAGAAACATCGATGTGAGAAAAAAACATCAATTAGCTGCCTTCTGCATGCCCCCCACTTGGGATGGAGTCCAAAACCTAGGCATGTGCCCTGACTGGAAATCAAACTGGTGACTTCTGATGCATGGGACAATGCCCAACCAACTGAGCCACACCGGCCAGGGCTGGAAGAGTTCTTGATCTACAAAAACCCATTGTACAAGAAGTTTACAAGAGGATTCTTAACTTTTCAAAGGAATTTACATCAAAATTTATGTGGACTAGCCCTGGCTGGTTTGGCTCAGCAGTTAGAGCGTTGGTCCTCAGACCAAAGGGTCTCAGGTTCAATTCCAGTCAAGGGCATGTACCTGGGTTCCAGGTTCAATCCCTGGCCCTGGTCAGGGTCATGTGGGAGGCACCCAACTGATGTGTCTCTCTCACATCGATGTTTCTCCCTCTCTCTCCCCCTCCCTCCCTTCCACTCTAGAATTAGTAGAAAAATACCCTCAGGTGAGGATTAACCAAATTTTATGTGGAATAGTGTCCTCTTGAAGACATACTTCATTTATCCTTTGTTTTAAGCCTCAGTGCATCACAAGAGTGCCTACCTGACCCACAGAGCAGATGCTCAGTAAATGCAAATTGAATCAAGTTCACTTTCATTCATTTCATAAAATCAGGTATATACACACACACATGCCTGCACACACCCACATTTATGTCTAAAAACTACTTTGTGAATTCATTGGAGCCCATAAAATGAGCCCTAGACATGACAAATGAGCTTCCATCTCTCATGCTGAAGAATTAGTTGCTAGAGGTGAATAATGGAGCACTACGTTAAGAAGGATTCCGAGGCCCCACTTGGGCTCACAGAAAAGAGCACCAAGCCCTGGCCAGTTTGGCTCAGCGGTTAGAGCGTCGGCCTGCGGTCCGGAGAGACCCGGGTTCGGTTCCCGCTAAGGGCACGTACTTCGGTTGCAGTTTGTCCCCGGCCCTGGTTGGTCGTGCGGGTGGCAGCCACTCGATGTGTCCCTTCACGTCGATGTTTCTCTCTCTCTCTCCCTTCCTCTCTCTCCCTCCCACTCTATCTGTACAAAAAATGGAAAAATATCCTCGGGTGAGGATAAAAAAAAAAAAAAAAAGAAAAGAGCACCAAGATCGACTAGTCCCGAGATCAGGTGCGGGAGAAGGGGCATAAGTGCCATTTATTTGTCTATTTGGTAACAGGTATAAATAAGTCTGTCACAAAGAGCTGTTTTCTTCCTCTCTCAGGAGCTTGATTTTCTGGATCTGAATGCCAACTCTCTTCCACTTATTAGTTGCACAAAGTTGGGCAAGTCACTTAACCTCTCTGGGTTTTGGTTTTCTTAACTATAATTAGGAATAACAGTTGACCAACCTTACAGGATGTTTGTGAGAATTAAAGGAGTTAAAGTACGTAAAGCATTATGAGTTATGCCAGGCACACAGCATTTGAAGCCTCTTAAGTATAAGCCATTATTTATTATTATTATTATTATATATCATATTTTATACTCCCCTACTATACACTTGTGAAGGGTAGTTTACAGCCCTCCCCGGCCACATTTCCACTTTGTGACATGGACATAAAAGACAAGAGAAGAGTCAATGAACTAGAGTGTGGGAGGAGTCTGGTCCACCCACGCACCTGCAGGCAGGTAAACTTGAGAGACTCCCACTGCACTGGACAAATCAGGGTAGGGTCAGATTAGCTAGTCCCACCCCTCCTCTTTACAGGGATGGTTTTCCCCATGGTTAGTGGGGAAATCCAAAGAAAGTAGATGAGCAACTTGAATATAAATGCAGCGTCAATTGCCAGAGTAATCAATAACCAGATAGGACTGATCTCCCCAGAATGCTGCAGACAGTTCTTGTAAAACATGTATAAACGCGGTGGGGTCAGAGTCAGAAGATCCAGCACGTTGTAGGGCCGTTGACCGTGACATGTATTCATTTACATTCTCTAGGTTTTAGTTTCTCCCTGTGTAAAAACGCCTTTCTTCGCAGTATGAAGAAGGAACACTGCTAATTAAGTGACAACATATCTGGGAACACTGTGGAAGCTCCCCCGCCCCACACAGTTCATTGTGCGCTGTAAAAATACTCTTCTGACCTCACGAGGTGCAGAAGGTATTCCCCCAAAGAAGCGTGATCTATGTCACTCTCGTGCTATCAGAGAACATGAAACCACACTATCACGAGGCCCCTTTTGTTTTTCACAACCCAAAACCTTCCTAAGGATGAATTTTGTTTTGTGGCAAATAATGCCACAGTATATAAATTCTGATTCATTGTGTTTTTGCTTAATCGTGTTGTAATATACATAAGCTGCTGGATTTGATTTTATTTACCCTTGATACCTCCTCTTCAGCAGCTCTGAATGCGGTTTACCCTAAACACTATCATTCAGGTACAGTGAACCTAGAAAGTCTATGTATTTAAGAAGAAAGGCACAAGGTATACTGATATGGGATGGGAGACCCAGCCAAGTTGTCAAGCAAGAAAGTTCACAGGTCATAGTACAGCTTCCCAGCCTTGAACTAGCAAGGTTGGAGGGAGACGCTGAGCCCCAGGTGACCCCAGCCTCCACTCTGCTCCCTACAAACAGCAGCATCTACTGTATCTCTTGCCCTAAAGGTCGGGAGCACAGTCCAATGACATAGGGTGTATAGAGCGCATTTCACACTTTGCCCCTTGGAATTCTCGCTGCCATTATTTACTCCTCACTTCACAAACAAGGAACCTGGAGTTAGAGAGCGAGTATGTGAACATTCCAGGAGGTAGAAAATAATTAGAAGAGCCAGGACCGGCTCCCAAGCCTTCTCTTCTATCGCTTCCCTTTCTCCTTTCATCCTTTGTTCATGCTTTTTAATCAATTGTGTGCATACTTTAATTTTAGAAGAATGGCAGAAAAAGAAATAAAATCTACCGTTTTTCTTTTTTTTTTTTTTAATCCTCATCCAAGGACATTTTTCCATTTTTTGTACAGACAGTGTGGGAGAGAGAGAGAGGAAGAGAGAGAGAGGAAAACATCGATGTGAAAGGGACACATCGAGTGGCTGCCACCCGCACGACCAACCAGGGCTGGGGACAAACTGCAACCGAGGTACATGCCCTTAGCGGGAACCGAACCCGGGTCTCTCTGGACCGCAGGCGGACGCTCTAACCGCTGAGCCAAACCGGCCAGGGCCCTTTTTTCATTTTTAATGGAAAATTTGAAAGGCAGAAAACTATCACCCAACCTATCAACATCAAAATATAAATAAAGTTGATGCACACGTTAGTGATTTTTACTCTGTCCCTCCCACGCTTAGTTTTTGCCTATCAGGTGGTAGTGATTCTTGTTTTGCTGTTTTGTTTTTCCTGTTTTAAACATTTGTATATACAAGTTTGTATTTTGCTTTTGTAACAGCATTGTGACTTCAATATTTGCCTCTGTTGCTTAATTTTTGGAGATATCTTTCTTTTTACAGATATTTTATTTATTTTTAATTACTTAATTTTTGTTACAGATGTTTCTCCTTTTTCCTCCCTAGACACCCTCCTCCTGATCCCCCCCCCTCATTGTTGTCTACGTCTATTGGTTGTGCACACGTGCATATAAGTTCTTCGGTGTATCTCATCCCGCCCCCCTCCTCTGAGGTCTGAACCGTACTCCTTTCTATGTGGAGACATCATTTTAATAGCCAAGTAATACTTCTCAATGTGACTAAGTGTAAGTGCTCAAGTTCAAATCGTCTGATTCTCCTTTCTATTTCCACCGAGCCATTCTCCGTTACTAAAAGTGATGGCATCTCTCATCCCAATTGTACATGAAACTCTCAATGTCACATCATTCAAGGCAAACGGCCAGGTAGTTTAATGACACAATCAGGTTCTTCAAAATTTAAAATAATTTTTAAAATACTTACACTCGCCCTGGCCAGTTTGGCTCAGCGGTTAGAGCGTCGGCCTGCGGTCCGGAGAGACCTGGGTTCGGTTCCCGCTAAGGGCACGTACTTCGGTTGCAGTTTGTCCCCGGCCCTGGTTGGTCGTGCGGGTGGCAGCCACTCGATGTGTCCCTTCACGTCGATGTTTCTGTCTGTCTCTCCCTTCCTCTCTCTCCCTCCCACTCTATCTGTACAAAAAAAAAAAAATGGAGGGATGTCCTCGGGTGAGGCTAAAAAAAAAAAAAAAAAATACTTACACTCTCTGCGCCTTAGTCACCTCTTCTGTACAGACCCCGTCATCCCAGGACACTGGAAGCCCCTGTGATAACCCAAAATATTAACACAGCAAATCTGAATGTCCAGAATCATGATTTCTTGATTCTCTTTGATTTTATAAAATTTCAACCCCATAACTTCTAAAGGAAACTATTTAGAAAGACAGCATTATGGAAAAGTAAGAATAAAATAAAAAATTATCAATCGGGGCCTCTCCACACCAATCCCAGCATCACATACTTAGCAACACATTTTTAAACGGAAAGAAAGATGGTTTCTTTTTTTCCAATATTGTCTTTCTCTTCTTTTTCCCAGTAGAATTCAAGGTGTCTTATTCATCGCAAACCTCGCCTGGTCTTAATGCAAGGTAATAGTTTTCCTTCTGGATAAAGCAGGTAAAACTCGTGCTTGGGGGTGATGTTTCAGGAGCCTTTGGCTTTCCAAAGATGGGGAGTGGGGGGAAGAGGGGAGGGTGGGGGGAGCAGGTCCCCTGAGGAAGGAGGGGTTCCATGGCGGTGAGGTCATGAAGTCACACATGAAGGAACCCCCCCAGTACTGCTCCCCTCTGCCACTCAGACCCTCGTGGGGTGAGGGACAGGCCCCAAGGTCAGAGTCCCGGACCCAAAACTAGAGAAGCAAGGGCAGCGGGGCTGATCTGGAGCGCGCACAGGGCCGCGGGCAGGGCCCGTGGAGCGGGCGAAGCGCCCGAAAGGAAGTCTTCCTCGCTCGCGTTTCCAGGGTCTGGAGGCTCATCCGCGAGTTTCATGACACTGCCACCGGGCTTGCGCACGCTGGGCCGCAACAGACCTAAGGGACGGTGATAGAAACCCTAACTGTGCTCAGCTCTGTGGAAGCGGTGTGGGGACACTCAAGACTTCCGACTCACACTCCTGCCCTGGAGCCTCAGCCCCACAGTCCCCTCCCAGAGGATGGGTGTCACTTGCACTGGGGAAGTGGGTCGACTAGCTACACTAGATACAAAGGAAGCCACGGCCGGTGTGGTCGTGGGAGGAGCAGGAGGAGCGTCCCAGCCTGCGGCAGTGGGGAGCAACAGGGAGCCGGAGGGCGCAGGGCTCCACGCAGGGGGCCCCCCGACCCCCGCCCCCCACTCCTGCTCCCCACTGGCCCTTCCGGTCCACGCTGCACACGTCCAGGGCCGCAGAAGCAGGAGTCTCACAGCGTCGCCCCCACGAAGGCAACGTGAGAGAGGGCGCGGCTTTTCAAAGGCCCCGTCGCCCCCTTCCTGACACTCACAGGCTACTAAGCACTGTGGCAGCGGGGGCCTGGCACCCGAGTGACTGCGGGGACAGCTGTGAGTGAGAGCGGGAACTCCAGACCAGCCGGCCAGGGTTTGAACGCAGCCAGCATGGGCCACAGGGCAACCACTTACTATCCTGGTGCCTCCGCTTTTCTACCCGAAATATGGCAACAGTGTGTTTGGCCCTCCAGGGCTGTGGTGAGAATTACTCCAGGGCTGTGGTGAGAATTACTGAGGTTAACTCATGGGCCCTGAGAACAGTGGGCAACACGCGGGACGTGCTCGGTCAGTGCTGAGGACCACTGATTGTTGTCCTCCGCCCTGCGCCCCACGAGCCCACGTGGACACTCAGGACACCTAGAACGAGCATCCTATCCCTGGTCAGCTTCATTCCAAGCGCACCCACCCGCTCTGTGCTTTCTTCATAGTTTAGCTGAGTGTGTTTTCTGTTCCCAGGGCCCTGAGGACAACGGAGACCAGAGAGGTCCCCGGCCCTTACCTGGGTTTGTCCACATGCTTTTTGGCTTGGGTCCCCAGAGTCCAGGGTTGAATCTTGGGGTGTTCAGAGATGCCCTGGATTTTCCTGACACAAGGTTGTTGAGAGAATGAACTCTTTGCAAACCCCTTTAGACAAGAAGTGTTGTACTCGTGTTTGTTAAGGTAGGGGTGAGGAAGGGAGCAGATTCAAGTGAAGCATTTCATGGGTCCCTTATAAGCAGGAAGGCTCCCTCTCCCACTCGGACCCTGGGGGTTGCCCGAGCATGTGCCAGGCCCCTTCCCCACTCTGAAGCAGCTGCAGAAGCAGACCTGGAGCCGTCAGAGCTCCCTGGGCCCAGGTTCCTGTGGTCCTCTTTGTACTCTCCCCATTGCAGATGGAGCTGGGAGCAGGTGTTTGGCCCAGGGTGGTGGGTGTTGAGGCCACAGCAGGTCCTGGGCAGGTGCCCAGAAGGCCCTGCAATGGCTCATCTGGGGCAGCCGTGGCAGAGGGTGCTAAGCAAATGTACACAGAGATGGCGATGCCCAGAGCAGCCCACTGTCACCTTAAGTATAATCCCTGCTTTGTTCAGCAGCTCTGACTCTCGGGGTCCTTTCGTGGGGATTCCCATTATCTCCCTGGGTCCCAGTGGACGAGGTAGGACAGACATCCCACCAGAAGGAAAGAGCCCGGGAGGCTCCTGACCCGGCCTTGAGACCTGGAACACTGCAACAGGTGACACCTGCCCAAAGAGCTCATCTGTGTCCACTGCTTCTTGAGCCCTGCGGTCACCTGACTAGGACCCGAGCATCTTGCTGCTTGACCCTGGGGTCCCTTTCAATGGCACATCCTGGCACAGCTGCTCTGCCCTAGCTCACTGGCTGCCAGGCCCACCCACAGGGCCCTTGAAGTGGAACAAGCCCCGCCTGCAATGCCCATGGACACTGACAGGGAACAGCCTCCTCCTCCCTCCCTCGGCCTCCTTGCCAGCACCCGGGCTGCAGCCCCTCCCCCTCCCTGTTCCTGATCCTGGAACCCTGGCCAGGCTGGGAAGGGCCTGTCTCAGGAAGGGCTACTGAACTTCTTACTTACCCTGTGAGAAACAGCAGCCAACACTGCCCGGTCATCTGTCCTCACCTGTGGGGACCTATAGCAGGGGGCGGGGGGTATGATTTTCAGAAACAGGCACAGAGAAGTTAAGTAAATTACCCAAAGTTACTCCATTATCATGCAGCAGCCAAAATGTAAGCTCAGATTATCTGACATCAAATCTGTTTTTCTACCAATTATAGTTACATTTTCCCTCATGACTCTTGGGCCAGTTTACATGAGATGACTTTAGGGCCACAGCACCCCCAAAATCCTTCTCATTCATTTGAATTAGTTTCTAGTCAGAAATTCTTGCAGAAAGACACAGTGTGGGTCAGGGTGTTGGGGTACTCCCTTCCCATCCTGAGCTACCAGACAGCAGGGCCTGCGCCCCACACCCGACACCCTGTCATCGAGCACAGAAGCCTGTCTCAGCGACGGTGGTATTTGCAGTGGGCAGACCAGAGGGCACGGACCTCCGTGCTTGGTTTTAAGCTACTGCCACATCCACAGTACTTTGGGCTTTTTTGTTTGTTTTTTTCACTGTACCTGAGGCAGCTATGAGGCAGAAGGGTAACTGGAATGATCAAGATAATGAACCAGAAAGGACAGATTGTTCTGGAACATTGGACTGTCAATTATGGAGGCCTGGCCATTGGCCTTCGAAGGCACCCACAGATTCTTGCACTGTAAGTGAGCAGCAGGTGGCAGCATGGGGCTCTGCTGCCTGTTCTTGCTCCACGACGTGGTCCTTCTGCCCTGTGACGCCCTCGGTCAGGGCCAGGCAGCGGTCTGCAGGGGCTGGAGAGCGGCCACCACGCCCCAGCCTCCCAGCAGGCAGAGCACTGGGCCCCTCGCCTGCCCCTGTTCGGAAGCTGACTGCTCCCTGTGCCCCTCTCCGACAGAAGCCCAGTTGCTGGCGTCTCTCAGGTGACCACCCTCTTCGCTCACCCTCCTCCCATCTTTGAACCTGACGGCAAGTCTCTCTACTCGGACATGAAGCCTTCTATACCCTTCATGAGGGGTGGAGAATCTCTGTCCTGGCGAGACCAGGGCACACAGACGGATTGCACCTATGAGAACAAGGGTAAGCTGGGCGCTCTGGCAGTGGGCGGTGGTCACTCCACGTCTGTGAAATATCAGGGCTCAGGTATTAGCTTCCATGCCGATGACATAGCCTGTGCCATGGAAGTTCTACTCTGGGTAAGAAGTTCAGTTCCTCTCCTTGTCCCACTGCAGCCTTGCTCCATCCCAGACCCGCCTCGGAGAAAGAGCATCAGCAAAGTACTGAGACAATTCCCTTCTCCAGTCTTTCCTGCCTCCTCCTTGGTCTTCCTGTTCTTGTTCCTCGTGAACACAGGCGCTGATTCCCTCACAGACACGGCTGTTTGTTCCCAGACCGGTCCCCGAGATGATAGGTCACATCCAGATAACCACGTGGACAGTGGTGAAGGCCACTCAGGCCCCGCAGACTCTCCGTGTCCGCGTGCAGTCAGAGCGGCCGATTCGGGACCTGCCAAACCATCTCGTGTAAACAATTGTGGCCGCAAGTGGGAGACACTCAAGAGAGAGTCAGGCAAGGTCGCCGTGGGCAGCTCAGTGCTCCACCCAGTTCCCCGAAAGGCCCTTGCCCTGGGACCCCGGGTTGGAACACTGAGCAGCTTTTCTCATCATTATCCACCACTGAAATCCAGCCTTCGGAGGCTGGTCCATCACGGGTTCACAGATTCGCGTCACGCCTGTAGTCATGGCAGCGGTGAATCAGATGTCCCGTCACCTCACTCCCTGCCCCCATCGGTGCCTGCTAAATGTTACAGCTCAAGTGTGATTACACGAAATTAGGAGCCAGAACCCTGCGAGGGAGAACGGAGGCAGAGTGGCCCACACCAGCTGAGCCCATGACGCTGGCAGCACATGATGAGTGTCCTGCAGGCCACTCAGGTCGTGTGGGACCCTTGTCAGCGTGTGTACGACGATGGGTTCCCAAGAACTGGAGCCACTGCAAAGCCAGTCAGCCTGACAGCTGAGGGAAAGCTGAGCATTTCTCTAAATATCCATGAGCAGCCCTGGCCGGTTTGGTTCAGCGGTTAGAGCGTCAGCCTGCGGTCCAGAGAGACCCGGGTTTGGTTCCCGCTAAGGGCACGTACCTTGGTTGCAGTTTGTCCCCGGCCCTGGTTGGTCGTGCAGGTGGCAGCCACTCGATGTGTCCCTTTCACGTCGATGTTTCTCTCTGTCTCTCTCTTCCTCTCTCTCCCTCCCACTCTATCTGTACAAAAAATGGAAAAATGTCTTCAGGTGAGGATAAAAATAATAATAATAATAAATAAATATTCATGAGCAAGATTCTGTAAGTCATTTACTGGGTAATCACCTGAAAGTGCCAATGCTGAGCTTGAAAGGATGTGGGAGAGGGAAAGAAGATAGGAGAAGGCTGGAGTGGGGGAAGGGGGCCACCATACCTCTGGGGACCCACCTCCAGAAAGAGGTCCTCTGGAAATCAGTGTTTTATTTGACCTGTTCATTCATGATCCTTTTGGTTTCTAAGCTTAATTTACAGAGCTAGTCATGTCTGTACCTAACTTAAGTACGAAGCACTCTGCATAATTTGGTCTATAGGAGCATATTTTGCTGTTGTCTTTCCAGGACTGAGTTTTTTAATGCCAACATACGTTTTGTGTTTAGTAAAAAAAAAAAAAAAGTCTAGCCACCACCGTAAATGCTTACTGATCAAATACTGTGACATGGGTGACCTGGACCAGCGGTGTGGACTGCACTGAAGCCTCTAAACCAGGACCAATAACATACGCCAGGTTCCTGCAGTTAGGTAAAGGGGTGATCATTACAGCAAAGATTAAACACAAGGAAAAGCAAGCAATTCCCTAACATTCATGGAGGTTTTTCTTTTCCCTCTGCCTATGGTTCACAACCTAACTTTTTGGAGAGCACTGGTAATAAATGGGAAAAACTTGCCAGTAATGGGTACATGATTGTAACTGGCCAATGAAGTGGAGCGAATATACAACCGAAAGGCTTCTCTGAGAATGAATGGTTACGAGGAAGTGACAGAAGTGTGCCGGTGGAAACCAGGAAATGTGGAGCTCCGGGAAGGAGAAGAGCTCACACCTGCTCACGAGGAGGACAGGACAGCGACCCCGGAAGCAAAGCCAGCCTCTGCAGCTGGAGTGCAGAACACCAAGGATTCCCCAGTGGTGCAGATGTGGAAAAGCACCTACTTTCAGCCCATGGCAGAAGCCACCCATCCATTTGCTGGAGAAACACAGTCAAGACAAAAGCAATCCAAAGAGCTGGTGGTTTGGGGCCAAGGGCCAGCAGGAGCAAGCAGAGGTGACAGCAGGTGTCGTCGCTGCTGATCCACGAGGCCCTCCGCGGTGCGGCCCCCTGCTGGGTGCCAGGAGAAGGGCATGTTCCTAGCCTCCTCCTCCAGGGTCCCTGCTGGCATTCTTCACAAGATTCCCAGAAGATCTGCATGTGCAGCAGCGCTGGAGAACCACAGACCTCAGAGGATGAGTAGAATGGGTGAGAGGTTCCTGTTTGAAAAACATTTTTTATTATAAGCTTGTTCAACCCCGTGGACCAGGAAGAGCATTTTACACGGCAAAGCTCTTCTCGACAAATTAGACTTGAACTGAACATGGAGGAAGAACACCCAGGTCAGTCCTTGAACCTTACTCAGAGAGTGGCCGGTCTGAGGAACGAGCGCTCAAGGTCCCAGAAATGCCTTGTGGCAGGTGGAAAAGTGTTCTGAAGGACCAGAAAGGCTCTTGAAGACCTCAGGCGTCCACCTATCCAGGCACACGGCAGGTCATAAATAAAGTCTACGAAAGCCCTCCACAGCGCAGCACATCCATGCTTGTGCAAATCCTTAGGACTCAGTGCCTGGCACAGTGTGAGCACCTATGAATAGTTGTTAAATACGTGCGAAACTGTGGACTCCTCATCTGATTCAGAGCAGATACGGTGATGAGAGGGTGTGTCCTACTCCCCAGACACAGTCTTGCTCCAGGGGGGCTGTGTCTAGAAAGATGTGGCCGAGGACAAACAGAAAGAGCAGAAGTGCTCCCAGGCGAGTGACTGACTTCGGGCCGCCGGGCCAGATGGAGAAGACGCCGGAAGTTCCCAAAGGAACCAACCAGCGTTTGGGCAAAGCTCCCCTCAGTGGACTTGCATTTTGAAAGAGCACGTGGAGTGCTCACTTCGGCAGCACATATACTAAAATTGCAATGATACAGGGAAGATTAGCATGGCCCCTGCACAAGAGCAAAGAAAAAGCACGTGGAGATTAGAGACGAGAAAGTTACTTATAATAAATGTAGGGACTCGATGTGTTCCTTTCACATCGATGTTTCTCTCTCTCTCTCTCTCCCTCTCTCTCCCTCCCACTCTACCTGAACAAAAAATGTCCTCTGGTGAGGATAAAAATAAATAAATAAATAAAAAATAAATGTAGGGAAATGGCTCAAACTGAGAGTATCAGGAGAGGTGGTTGCCCAGGATAAACTTATTCTTTTCGTTTTTTTGTTGTTGTTGTTTTTTTTATCCTCACCCCAGGACATTTTTCCATTTTTTGTTCAGATAGAGTGGGAGGGAGAGGAAGAGAGAGAGAGAGAAACATCGACATGAAAGGGACACATCGAGCGGCTGCCACCCACACAACCAACCAGGGCCGGGGACAAACTGCAACCGAGGCACATGCCCTTAGCGGGAACCGAACCCGGGTCTCTCTGGACCGCAGGCCGACGCTCCAACCTCTGAGCCAAACTGGCCAGGGCTAAACTTATTCTTTTCAAAAAGTGGTAGTAGCCCTGGCCTATTTTGCTCCGTGGTTAGAGCATCGGCCTGCAGACCATAGAGTCCCAGGTTCGGTTCCTGCTAAGGGCATATACCTTGGTTGCAGTTTGTCCCCGACCCCGATTGGGGTCGTGTGGGTGGCAACCACTCAACGTGTCTCTCTCACATCGATGTTTCTCTCTCTCTCTTGTCCCCACTAAAAAACAAACAAACAACAACAACAAAAAGTAGTAGTAATAATAGTAATAATAACAACAAAAGCAACAAGCTGGAGAAGTACGAAGTAGAGAAGCCGTTTGTTGTAGATACTTGACTCAGCCATAAGCTCAGTAAGTCAACGGCATGACTGATGTGAGTGCCAGAAGAGTCACTGTAACAAATATAATTGAAAGAGTCTCTGCAGAGGGACTAGTCCTACTCTAGCCTGCACTGAAGGTCGGCCCAGGGACAGCTGTTCTGTCCGACCCTGCGGCACGCTGTGAGGGCTGGAAGCAGACGGGTGGATCTGGAGGAGGGCGTGCTGACCAGGAGACTGTGCCACACGAAGACCTGTTGACGATGGGCGTAGACAACAATGCTGCAGGGGAGGGGGGGTCGGGAGGGGGGTCCAGGGAGGGAAAGGGAGAAACATCTGTAACAAAAATAAATTAATTAATAAAAGAAAAGAACCGTTGAAGCAAAGGAGGTGTTGAGTCTGGAAGACACCTGTCTCCGAGATAGCGTAGCGGCCTTCAAATACCTGAGGATCAGCCGTATGAAACCGAGACCCGGCCTCTCCGTCTGCACTGAAGGGCTAGCATAGGACTAGCTTCAAGGAAATGTGTTGAGAAGCCCCTCCTAACAGTGAGAGCCGTGCCGCGGCGGGGTGAGTTGGAGAGCCCTTGTCATCAGAGGGCTGGGGCTCGGAGGAAGACCCCAAGGCAAGGACACTGCGCGGGTGCAGGGCGTCCAGGCACCGCCCGGCGGCCAAGTCCTGAGTGGAGGCCAAAGTTTCTTTTCCTTTCTCTTCATGGGCCTGCGTCTCCCTTAAGCAAGGAACCTAGGGTGTATGCACACATGTTTAGGCGTAGGAAGAGGGAAAGGTGGGGGTGGGGAAAGCAAAAAGGAGTGAGGATACAAAATTCCAGAAGACATAGAGTAAGCACCACTAAGAACTTACAAAAGTTCTCAAAAAAACTACAGCAGCCTCTCGTGTCAGATCTTAGTACATCTACACTAGAAGCTCCATGTTCCCTGCCAGCCCCTCTCATGCACCCTGGGGAGCAGAACACCAGAAATGCCCACTTCCTGCAGTCACAGCCTTACCCCATTGCTTGCTGCACGGTCCTGGACACTGGCTCTGGTTCTAAAGCATTCCTCCTACGGAGGGAAGAATGTCTCCAAGGTGCCCCCAACCCATTATGCTATCTACCCTGGGGACCCTAACTGGCCCCATGGTGACCAGAGGAGAAGGCCCCAGAGGCACCCCATTTCCTGACCACTGGCTCATTGCAGTTAGAAAAGAGGAGGGGCAGAGGGGCACCAGCATGCACCAGCAGTCCCTGCAGCCCGCTTCTCCCCACTGTTGATCAGCCTGTGGTGCCAAGAAAGAACCTCAGCCCCTAAGCGCCCCCTAGGAGCCCACTGGGAGGTGGGAAGTTCAAATCAGTAATGGCCACTCTCTTCTGTCTTCTTACAGCACCTGTAGAATTGAAACTACAAAAAAATCAAGAAGACTCAACAACAATACTAGCCCCTTTAAAGGTGGATTCAGAAGGTATCATTTTAATTTTATAACTTGATGATGATTTTAAATGACTTGCAGAAGTTACAAATTCATCCATGAGAAGGTAAGAAGCAGAGAATTATCATGCCCTCAGCCACAGAGAGCCCGCTCTGGACCATTCTGTGCTAGGGCAGCCTAATTAAGGCCGGTGACCAAGGTATTATTTCTAGAGCTTGGTGTCAAGGTTCAGGGGTCAGGTAAGAAACTGAGCCAAAGAGCAAAGTGCTTTTAAATTTGAATTAAAATTGAATTTTGAAAAGGGAGGATACAATATTTACCAGTGGGGTTCTGAGGGAAGATAATGGGGTACCCGTACTCAGTTCATTCCATGACATTTACTGTACACCTACTGACATTTATTGTACATTTACTGTGTATTGGGCAGGATATAAAGATGAATAAACCCATTACACCCTCTCAGAACTTAAATTCTAGTGGGCAAGATGAAATATGAACAAAGGGAGAGGAATTAATATTTACTGAGTATAAGCTACAGGCCGCAAACTGCTAAAGATTATGGAAACTTCTTATCCCAAAACACGTGATCTCCACCCTGGTCTTCCCAGACACTTAGAAGGTGATTTTTAAATTGATTCCTTCAGAAATCCGAAGGTCCAGACTAGTTCACCATCCACATTCTATTAACAATTATATTAAGGGAGGGGTTAGTTGAATCTTATGAGAGGGAAGGACAAGGGAGAATCCTTATGTAGTAGAATCCCAACGCGCATGCATCATTTCACAGAACAGAAGGCCTGCAAAAATCAGGCCACCCTGTTAGACAGTAATTTAGGGACTATGTTCTGTTGTCCTGTAGCATGGTGGGTGCTGGGGGGAGGATCCGTCCCAAGTGGCATATCAAACAAACTTTCAAACTCTAGACTCGGCATTTCAGACACCACCCACCACCCCCAGAAGGGTACTGATCAGTAGAATTTATTTTCTTCCATTTCCGGCAGGGGAAGGTGTTAAGAGCTGGACTGCTCAGACTTTAATGTATAGAGAAAAAACCTGGGATCTTGTTTCTTAACTACAGTACGAAAATGTCTATCAGACCCTTGTCATCCTAATCCATTCTGTCGGCAAGAACCAGGGATCTTGTTAAAATGCAAATTCTGACTCAGCATTTCTCACAAACACCAGCAGCAGCTACTGCTGCTGATCCCTGGACCACACATGAGTAGCAGGGTTAGTAACCACCAGCCCAGCCCATCTCTTGACCCACCTGTCTAAGGTAACAAGGAACCCCTCCGTGAAGGGTGGAGGAGGTGAGAAGAGCACTGAGCTGCAGAACTGGGCGGCTCGTTCCTGGGAGCGGGCAGCAGGCTGGTCGTTCACCGCTATCCCCACCGCATCTCGTCTATGACTGGGGACCTGCCCTGCGGGACAAATGCCCACAGCTCCAACATCTCTCCCAAACTCAGGAACTGCAGTTCTGTCAAGAAAAACATTAGAGAACAATCATTGGTTGGATGGAGGGAAATTAAGATGTGTTCTTAATCAGACGTGGGGAAGGCACTTCACTTTAGGGAATCCCGCTTGCCAGGCACTTACTGCCTTAGCAGCTCTCGGAGCCACCCTGAAGAGGACGCTTCTTGTCCCCTCACCGGATGAGGAGAGGAGAGGGAAAGCGCTGCATGACATGCTGGGAGTGGCCAGGCCCTCCACGACAAGCCTGACACTCCCCTCACCAGCCCCCCCCCCCCCCCCGAGCAATTTCAGGAGAAGATAATGATCTCACTCCAATAAAGACAGAGGCTGCTGACAATCCCCAAAGTGAAAGTTAATTAGGAAGAAAGCGTTTCCTTCTCATTCAGGCCCAGTTATGCCTGTGTTACTGCGCATTTACTGCGCTTGTCCGGACAGGTAAACAGTGCCCACCGATGTTAATAGTGATAATTACGTTACACCAGACTTTCTTCCCTTGGTAAACACACCACCTCTTTCCCCCCTCAAGTTAGCTTTGGATTCTTCAATGCGGCCTGTTAAACTAGGGCAGTCACGGGTGATGGGAGTGTCTAAACCCCCAGGGCCAGAGCCCACCCTTCTCGGGTTAGGGCGGCCATCCTCGGATTCCGACCAGGAGGTGCTGCCCCTCAGCCTCTGCAGCTCCTGCCTGTCCCCTCTCCGGTGACAGCCAAAGGGGCTTCCTGAGTGCTTGCTTGATTTCCCATGGATGCCTGTTGCTTTTTCCCGAATGGCTCTTTAAAATGTCTCTTGGTCGTGTCCACGGCAGACACGTGGGGGACACCCAGTGTCTTTGGGGTGGAGCTGAAAGGGGCCGTTCCTTTGCCAGTTGTCAGAACCACGTGGGACGGTGTGTGCCTGTGGGAACTACAGAAAAGAACTGCTGGGGACTCTCGTCACCCAGGGTCCCCTGCAGATGGGCAGGCTTCTGCAGAAACACACAAAGCTGGGGCAGGAGGTCTGTGGGCAGAAAGGCCCTGCGTTTGGTGTGGATACAGGCTGAGTGCAATTCTCCATCCACCAGGAGCCCAAAGGAGTCAGGGGTTTTATTACCGAACCACAATGGGGAAGAAGGACAAAAATAACGTGTGTGGAGATCACAAGGAAAGTCCATTTTCCACCCCAAAGGCATAATAGGGACAAAAACCAGACGAAACGAGTCAGCCCTGTGCCAGCTCAATGGGTGTTCAGGCCTCTCTGGACAGCAGTCACTCAAGCTGAGGCAACAGGCCCGGTGATTTCCCTGGGGTGGCGGGGAGCCAATTACCTCCCAGCTCTGCCTCGGATCCACACCTTCCCAGGAGCAGGGGAGCGAGGCCCAAGCTGTAATATCAATTCCTTGATTCCATCTGCACCCCTTCGACTGGAGGCTTGAGGCCCTTTCCTGGCCCAGAGAGTCACCAGGCTGTGGCTGACCTTGAGAACAAAGGCATTCTCACCTCCAATAGACTTTTTTTTAGCTTATTGGTTTGGGGATTCACCTCTTACTCTTTAACTTGCAATTATGAACCATATGCAATTCCAGAAATTGACAATTTTTGACAAAACTGGCAGAAGATAGGAATATTTATCAGATTTCCAAGAGAAAATCACACTCAGAATAGATCTCTCTCAGAATAAAATCTAAAGTTCTTCCCTCAGCCTATAAGGTCCTGGGTGAGCTGGCCCTGCCCTATCCCCCTTCTCCCCTCCAGCCACCCTCCTTCACGCGCTCTCCTCTCCAGGCATAGGGTGCCTCTTGCAGTTTGTCAAGTACGTCAACCATGTTCCCATTCACTCTCACCTCAGGGCCTTTGCACCTGCTACTTCCTAGCAGGAATGCTCTTCCCCAGCTATCTGCCTGCTTGTCCCCTTGCTTCATTCAGGACTCACTCAAATGTCCCTCTGTCAGATAACCCTTCACCAGTCACCAGGAGTACACACTCACTTTTATAAGTCAGCCACTGAAACTTACCATTTTGTTCCTATTTTATTAATACCCTCAAGTTGAACATTAGGAAATTTGATGGATTTATGTAAAATCATATTGATGATGTATGCATTTTTATTTAAAAGGCAAGAGTAAATGCTGTAAATCTATTTCCTTTTTTGTTTTGCTTCCTTTTCCAAATGTCTTTCCTTTTGCTGTGCCTTCCAACACTGACAGTCACAAAGTCTGTCTCTCAGGAGAACTTTTCGGATGGCATATTAAATGAGCCCACTGACACCCTGGAAGTCAAGGACTTTGATGAAAATGTAAGTTGAATAAAAACTTGAGACCACCTTGCTTCGAGTGATGGGGAGGGGGCCCAAGGCCAGTGGTCACTGTCCATGAGCCCTGGGATTCACAGCTTCTCTGTTGTTAGCACAGCCCAAATGAGCTTCTCTTATAACAGACATAAATTTAAGTCACACACATTCAATCAAAGAGGGCAGCAGAAAGCCAAACGTGGTACTCCAAGGCCCTGGTTCCAGAGCACCCGCTTGTAGGTAACAGGAACAAGCAAGATTGCTTCTGAGCTCTGGCCGGTGGCTCAGTTGGTTAGAGCATCAGCCCCAGTTGGTTAGAGGTTGTGGGTTTGATCCCCGGTCAGGGTGCGTCTCGGGGGCAACCAACCAATGATTCTCTCTCTCCCCCCCCCCAACCCCCTTCCTCGCTCTCTGAAATCAGTAAAAACATATCCTCGGGTAAGGATATTTTTTAAAAAGATTGCTTTTGAAGGCAGGAAACCCCAAAGAAAACACGTAAGTCATCTCGATCTCATGCCAAGCATTCTGCGTAGAAACCGTATGTAAAAAGGAGGTTAGGTTCTGAAAAGATGGACTAGATGTACTTTTCTCACTAAGTATAGCCTAAAACCCTGGACATTACATACAACACAATCATAAGAAGCTTCTGAAAGGCAGAGAGAAGGTAGACCAACTAGGGACCTGGGGACTTCACGATCGACCTGGCAGGGGGTTTCCAGCATTTTCTTTTTGCTTCACCTGTCCCTGCCTGGATGCCAACACAGGCAGCAGCCCAGAAACCCCAACAAGGACAGACAACAGAGCCCCCAAGGACAGGCTGCTGTCTCTCACCAAAGGACCAGGAATGGGACAGCCTAGCAAGGTAGCCCTTAGACGACCACCTCTGCAGCAAACTCCTCAAGAAACAGCAGCAAACTACCTGCCCGGGTCTTCGGTGCTGCTGACACCACCCTACAGTGGGCACAGAACCAGCCCCGAGACTCAGCAGGCGTCCTTCCCCAGCTGAACCCAGTGACCAGAGATGAGATGGGAGTCATTACAGTTTGAGTAAGCCTTCCAGCTAGGTTCGTGGTGGTGTCTTTACTGCATGCATTCCTTCCCTGCTGCGACAGCCCAGTGGCTCTAATTCCCTGTGTCAAACCTCCAAGACTTACCACACATGTTGATTCAGGTGGAAGCGTCATTGTGCACCCTCCTCACTACGGCTAAGAAACGGTCTCAGGACTGTAGGTACGAACTACGGTCACAAGACGGAAAGCGTGTCTCCCTGGAGGTCGGTATCAAGCAGATATATTTTTCTAAACTTACAAAAGAAAAGGCAAAAAAAAAAATGAAGAAAAAAAAACACTAAGTGTTTTATTTTTTTTTAATTTGGAAATTTTCTAGTCTTAGTTCATATTTAGCCCTAAATTTCTCACTTTCCACACTTGCTTCTATACATATTACAGGGTGGGGCAAAAGTAGGTTTACAGTTGTTTGTATAAAAAATAATATTATTATAATAATACAAGAATAAATTGTTTTTGTACTCACAACTGTAAACCCTGTGTATTAATGAGAATTATTTTTTAAATACTGAAATGCCATTCCGAGGGAGAAAAGGGATTGCCTGACCTTAGGTTACTGCATTGGATTTACTAAGACAGGAAAGTAAACGGGCATTTTAGAAACATTTCAGCAGGAGTTGAAATCGAAAGGAATTGTTTCAATCAGAAACGAATTTTTCAGCAAACGTCAGCATGCCTGGCAATGGAGGCTCCGCTCGCGGGCAGAGCTGCGGTCACAGGCAGGGTGAGACCTGTCCCGAGCTGCGGTGCGGGGTCCCGCGTGACAGGTGGGCAGTGCAGGCGAGCCCCCGTCACCAGCACCTTGCCTCGTCCTCTCGGGGGCTCTGCTGCGGTGACAAAGTGTGGCATAGAGTTGGGGGATACGTTCCCCCTGCTGTCTATAGCACTTTGCCCCCCGGGATCGGACACTGAGGAGGATGCTGAGGCCGCGCCCTGGTCCCAGCCGCACAGCTGGGTGAAGCAATGTCGACGTCCTGGTCCAGACGCTGGCACTCAGGCCGGCAGCCACAATGCTGACACCCTGGTCCAGACGCTGGCCCTCGGGCGGCAGCCGCACAGCTGGGTGAAGCAATGCCGACGACGAGCGGGTGCCGGCCAGTGGGGCCAGAGCAGGGCCGGCAGAATGGAACGAATGCTGCAGGTGACCTACAGCTGAAAGACTTCTGGGGCCCCTTTGGGGGCGATACCAGAAACTACTGGGGCACAAACTAAGGAGAGGGTGTTGAAGTCCTCCCATTTGGATCAAGGCTATCAACCGATACTTTCGTTATTCTGACATACGATTGCTTTGCTGTTTTTAGTTCACGGCTTGTTTATTTCTGTGGCGCACACATGCATCGCAAACCCTGCTGTGCACACTCTTGGTTGCAAGAGCCAGATGTTCACCCAGGACGGAGTCTGAGCATGAGAGGGCTCATCACTGGGGTGCCCGGTACACCTGTGGTGACCATGAGGACAGTTCTACTAGGCTGGGGGAGCAAACGGGACCAGCCTCCTAAGGTGGCACGTGCTGGCTGAATCGAGTGGGTGGCACAGCCTGCACGGACGGGAACCTCAACCAGGCCCACCCAGCGGGGCTGCTGTCTGGTGGACTACAGTGAGCGCTGTTTTCTGGTGAACAAACATAGAATCCAAAGGGGACGGTGACAGATCACTGGCCCAGGCAAACAGGAAGTTGCCCCACCCAAAAGCGGGATTCTCAGTAATGAGGAATTCAGGACAAGACACCATGGGCCTTACCCAACCTGGCCTGGAACACTGATTCCAGGGTTAAAAACAAACGGAGGTGTAGTGAGCATTTTAAGAGTCAATGTGAACATGTATCAACTGGAATCGGTCATCATCAAACCGGACGTGGTTAGAACTCTCCGCTGACAGGAGCTGGGGACAGACCCAGAGAGAGAAAGGCAGGAGGAAGGAAAGGACATTACTGAGTGGCCACAGCTCGAAGCTAGCTGGCTGCTTGTGACTGGTTGTCCTTAGGCTTCAACTGTGTAACCTGAGGCACTGACAGGCTTAGATTGGGGTTGTTTATGTACCCCCACGGCCTTAGCACTACCCCGAGCTAATGGCCACCTTGTTTAATAATTCGATGCCAGCAATGGTCAGAGGGGCAGGGCAGAGGCTGGACTCAAACAAGCTAGACCTTACATCTGTCCCAGGTCACATGCAACTCTAAATACAGTGGTCTTCTGCTTACTAGTGAAAACCAATAAATCAATGGTATACTATACATTACCAGATGTTGAGCGACAATTATGACAACCTCGGCTTGTAGGTGTGCAGGGCAACATGACAGGTCCATGGGTTACCTCACCAGCAAGCCAGCTTCCATTTTCTAGCCAACAGGATCCAAAGAAGAAACTTGCGAGAACCCGCCTGTGGGTCAGTCCTGGTTAGCATCATGGACTCGGGATAGAGCGATCAACGTTACAAAATTACAAAGGCAGCTTGCACTGTCGTTACTTTGAAAGAATCTTTAAACACAGATTGTCCACTGCAACAATGTGCCCCGTGCTACGCTGCTGTCCTGAGACAGTCATTCTTCACTTTGGATAAAGAAGCGTCCGCTGGGCGGTGGGCCATTTCTGGAGCTCAGAAACTGTGGCGCTCTTAGAGCGTGGAAGCACCTCCACCTTCGGGAAAGAGCGCAGCTTGGGCCCTGGCTGGGTAGCTCGGTTGGTTAGAGCAATCGTCCCAATACGCCAAGGTTGTGGGTTCAACAACCCGATGTCTTTCTCCCTCTTTCTCTGGATCTCTATCTGTCTCTCCCTTCCTTTCTCTCTCTAAAAATCAATACTTTTTTTAAAGGAACATAATTTTATGCTCTCAAAAGAATTCTTGGTATGCTGCTGTTAAAAAAAAAAAAAAAAAAAAACCACTAAAACAAAACCCTTGAGGGAATTGGGAAGTGAGCAGAGAGTATGACAGTAATGGAAATATTCTTTAAAACAAATTTTGCTAGCTGCCCTACTGTTCCCACTCTTTGTGGCTTTTGAATAATATGTCGAAGTCTTACCTGGCATGTTTGGGAGTCAGAAAAGTAATTAATTAGAAAGTCATTAATTCCCATTTTCTGGATATCTTATTCTGCGATCCTTTTGTAGCTTTTAAAGAGCTCCTACGAGTCCGTATTCAGGACCATGGTCAAAGAAATGGCTGCTGAAAATGAACTGGAAGAGGATATTGACATTCCCCTGACCGGCCACCTGGAGAGTGAAACCAGGAGGAAGCTGGGAATTCTGTAAGTGACTGAGAGATCGAGGTATTGGTCAGGGGTCAGGTAGGTCAGAGGTAGCTGCAGGGAAGGAGTAAACGGCCACCAGAGAAAGAGCAGACACGAGCCAGGCACAGGGCAGGAAACCCGCACGCTTGGGAGATCAGGACAGGGTCAGAGGTGGGCAATGGCAGAGGCTGGAGATCCAGGGCAAGAAAAGTCCTGAAGGGACCATGAACATGTACGAAGTCTGGGGAGCAAGGCCCAGAACCCTGTGGCTTTAAGAGAGCGGGCAGTGGGGGAATCAAGAGCCTGGGCATCTGCCCAAGCAATTCCCTGGCCTCACCCTGGGCTAAGCAATGCTTCTCGTGCTTCCTGGAGGGGGGGAGCCAGGAGCTCCTCCAGGGCCTCTGTTTGGAGCGGAGAACGACAAGGGCTGTGGCTGGCACCAAGCCCTTCCAGCTGGCACGACCAGTCAGAGTGTCCCAGCACCCACTTGTGCATCACCCTGTGCTGCGTTTCCAGTCATCCGACTGTCACGAGCCTTGGTGAGCAAATGCGGTTTCAGGCCTCCCAAGTGTCCGTCACACTCTCTGCCGTGGTGCCAAGGACAGGTGGCGAACAGGCCAGGGTGTCCACATGACCTCCTTGGTGAGTTGAGGCTTGCACAACAATCAGGAAGAGAGACTGACCGCCAGCAACTTCAGCTTTGGGTTCAGCAGTGTCCTGGGGCCAGAGACCCCTGAGGTTTCTCTAGGAGAAGGGGAGGCACGCATCCAAGCTTTCAGGCCCTTGTGCAGCTCCAAAAACAAATGCCGGGAAGCACCCCAGTAAGTTATTCTACCTCATAAATGACCTTCCACCCCCACCTCCATTCCTTCCCATTTAAGCCTATTCCCAAGGCTCGTTCTTACCTGACTGCACTCAACAGACATTTCTTGAGCACCTACTCTGTGCCGACCTTTACAGTAGCATGTAGCCCAGAGTCTCTGCCACTGAGGAGCTACCTGGTAAGGATCCACTAGCTTGCAAAGGCGGGCAAAGAACCAAAGAGAGAAACCTTCCCAAAAGGGCATTAGGTGCCTCTGTCTGGACTCCCTCACCGGAATTTTAACTCTTGTGTATATTTGGCACCCTCTCTTAGCCTGTGGGACAGGCCTCACCCCACCCAATCCTCAGTCCTCATTCCTTCGCATGTGATGGTAGGCTAGGCAACTGCTTCCGTTCCATTCAAAGTGCCAGCAACTAAAACGAATAGCATTTGGTACAAATGGGCCATAAAGAGCTCATTCCCAAGTTCCATTATTGCTTCAAGAGCACAGATAGTAAACCTGGGCTCTCTGCCAGGTGAGCTAGTTCAGCCCTTTCCAGCATTTGCTTCCTGGGTTGCAAAGAGCATTTGCTTCCTGGGTTGCTTGAGGTTGCATTAGCATGTTCTCTTCAAGGAGTCTGAACTGAAAGCTTAAAACCTGTCAGGCCAAAGGCCTTTCTCCAGGTCTAATTAAGATGGGAAGCTCATTCCTTCTGGCACCTTACCCTTCAAAGGTGCTCTGTGTTAGGGCTTGAGTATTTCGAAAAACTGTGCTTTGATGTGGCTTTCATGGTGAGTCATTCTAAGTGGGGTTATTGATCATCTTCCTACACAATGCAAGAGGGTTTCAGATGGCTCTGTCCAGTTCACAAACAGTGCTGTTTTCCAAGTGTAACCCTCACTGGGGTACATACCAGCCTCAGAAAAATCAAGCTGCACAGAGCCCTCTCCTAGCCCCTGAGATGACCCTTGTCAAATTTAGTTGTACAAGTCTGGGGACCAGCCCAGGTGCCCAGGTTGAAGGACAGTGAGAGGCCAGGAGGGAAGCACTGAGTCGTGCCCTGTGCTGTCCCTGTGTTCCTGAGCTCTGACCGGAAGAACAGCTGGGTCCCAACAGCCGTCGGCCCGACACTCCACCCGTGAAAAAGACTCAGCGGGTTGTAGCCCTGTCTACACTGTGCAGCATCACTTACAGACAGGAACTGAGTCTCAGCTTTTAAAGCAACTCACATTCCTTTTAGGTTGAAGAGAGATTTTGAAAACTACAAGGAAACATTCCAGTGGATTCTGAAGAAGCGTGAAAGTAAGGACTGCTCTGCCCTTGCCCGCCGCGCCTGGCGCCCCTGGGGTCTCACTGCCCCTCCCCTTCTGCCGCGTCCGAAGGAGGCAGGCCGGCTCACTCTTGAGCACCTACTGGTCTAGAAAGGTCCTCGCTTCCAGGGTTAAATTATGGAGCAAGACGGACACAGTCTGGAATCTCAGTGGGATTATGCTGTGTTGGTGGTGGGGCTGGTGGGTGGGGGTAGTGGGGACAGACAGAAAGTCACATATAGCATGGCTAAGTGACATGGTGGGAAGGGTTGCTATGGACCACGTGGAAAGAGATGTGACCCAGATTGGGGGTGGGGCTTATTACCATAAAGTTTGAGGGAGAATAGCCCTTTTACCAAACACTGAAAGCATCTGAGGTTCAGCTGTTAAAATCCACCAATCAGTTTTGGAGGTTCTCATCATGGAAAGCTTGAGCCAAGAGCCTACGCTCTCAGGCTACTTAACTCGGAAACTCAAAACCACATGGAATGCCTTTCAGATTACTAGATACAACTAATGGAGATGGCAATGACAGCAATACCAATCAATCATGGCCTTCTTCTCACTGAGCAAGGACACAGCCTCAGATTCTCTCTCAGGGAAGGGCTCCTGTCCCTCAACACCAGCTTATGTCCCTGATCTGACTCTTACAAAATAATTGCTGTGGGCTGGGTCCTTTCACATAGCTATGTCCTTCAAATTAATTTTCATAGCTGAGTGAAGTGGCACAGAGAAAGCCAGGCTCAGAGAGGCTAAGTGACTTGCCTGAGATCACACAGTCGTTGTGTGAGCATGAGCCACACTCACGTCCAAAACCTCAAGCCAAACCCAAGGCTCATCCTCTTGGCGTGTTCAGTGTGTCTGGAGAAGAAAAGTGGGGGCCTTCTGAGTCTAGGTGTCATGTCCTCAGTGGAGTTAGGAGGGAAGGAGAAGAAGGAATCCCCACCTTCAGCTTCCATAGTGGGAGGGCCCCGCCTCCCACCAAGACACACACAGTGGGGACCCCAAACAAGGGCGGAATCAGATGCTCAGCAGCCAAAACCATGACAAATGTCTACTACACTTCGTGTGCTCTACCTGGCCACTGCTGACACTGTCCCCTCCGGGCTGTGGACACCTGTGCCTTTCCTTGCCTGGCAGGTGTTCCTCGAGTGAATGCAGGCTTGCAGGATCCTGTGCTCCTTTGGGGGAATTACGGCTCTCAGGACACTACTGTCACGTCCGCCGGCCAGGCCTCCACCTGGGGAATGAAATTGGATGCAGCACAAATGGCCCCTTTCCCCTTGTGCCTCACAGTCCCCGGCCCCTCCCTGCTTCTCTGCACAGCTAGCGCCTAGATGTGAGCTTTGTATACAGAAAAGCAGTGTTTGTCGTTGAGAAGAGTCACCCCTCCAGTTCTGGTTCTAGCCGCCCCAGAGAAATCTCCCAGCCTCCGCTCAGACGCAGACGCACTGCCTCCAGGACCCAGCCCGTCAGTCCCTATTCCGGGCACACGGCCTGCGTCTCTCAACACGGATTCCCCAGCCGGGCCGCGCCACGGACGTGACCTGCGCGGCCACACAGGGCCCCACACTTATAAGGGCCCTATTCTTGGTTGAAGGCTCTGCTCTCACTGTCTTGAGCTTCTTCATAATTTTAGAACAAGGATCCCTGCATTTGCATTGTGCACAGGGCCCCTCGAATTGTGTAGCCTCTCCTGTTCAGAGCCATGTAGTCTGATGACAAATGGAAGAACGTGACAGCCATGAAAACCCAAAGCTCCTGCTGCAGGACACCGACAGGAGGCAGGCTCGGTGCGGCATCGGCTCAGTAACCCGTGGGCCGCCGGCAGCCTAACGCCATTGTAAGGAAACTGAGGCTCGGGAGGTGGCACAGAGCTTTGCTGATAAAGCCAGAGCCAGGGCACAGCACAAAGCAGAACGCCCATGGTTTTAGCATTCTGACAGGGAAAAATGAGTATGTAAATGTCCTCTTTTATCATGACCATTTCAGAAGTGCTTTCTATGCCTGTCTGGCTGGTGCACAGGGAGCAGCTGGGCTCGTGGGCATTCTCACCTCACCAACCCGTCCTGTCCTGCGAGCAAGCCCTGGAGAAGGAGCTCCGCGGGGGAGACTGAGACCCACTTGCAAACTCCTCCCAAGGTCTCCAAGTGCCCTACCCCTGCCCGCTTCTCATTTTCCTGAGGAGAAGCTTCCTCTCTGAGCTCTAATTAGGGGCCGCTTGAGTTCCCCAGATGTGCTGCGGCCCTCGACTCCCCTGCCCCCACCCCCCCGCGGCCCCCGCTCACGGACACTGCCTCAGACCCTGTGCCTCTCCCCGGGAAGATTGCCCTGGTCTCCTGGAACACCCGTCTTCTTCACATTGTGTCCAGCATCATCTTTTTTAAAAAATATTTTTTTTCTTTATTGATTTTAGAAAGGAAGAAAGAGACAGAGAGAGAAACATCGATGAGAGAGAACACCGATTGGCCGCCTCCTGCATGCCCCCCCACTGGGGATGTGGCCCACAACCTGGGCACGTGCCCTGACCAGGAATCGAACCAGTGACCTCTTGGTGCATGGGTTGATGCTCAGCCACTGAGCCACACCAGCTGGGCCCAGCATAATCTTTTCAAAACTCTTCACTGAAAAAATAAAAATAAAAGCCCTGGCCGATGGTTCAGTTTTTTGGAGCATCATCCCATGCACCCAAAGGTTGTGAGTTTGATGCCTGGTCAGGGCACATACCTAGGTTGCAAGTTTGATCCCTGGTTGGGGCACATAAAGGAGTCAATTGATCAATGTTTCTCTCTCACATTGATGCTTCTCTCTCTCTCTCTATCCCTTCATCTCTTTCTAAAAATCAATAAAAACATATCCTCAGGTGAGGATTCAAAAAAAAATTATGAACTCTTGCCTGGCCCTCCACTGCCTCCAGGAAAATGTGCACTTTCCTCGTGTGGCTTAGAAGGCCCTCCCTTTTCCTCTCCAGGCACACTGGCTTTCTATTATTCAGTGAATGGCCCAAGCACCCCGGCCACAGGACCTTTGTACTTGCTGTTCCTCTGCCAGAGCAGTCTTTACTCCAGTACCCCTGTGGCTGCTCCCTCTGCTTAACTGTGACCTCAGAAATAAGTTCCTTGGCTGCCCCATAAAAACCAGCGCGTGCCTACGCACACGCTCACATCGATTTCCGTCCATCCCACCCTGCTCAGTTTTACTCTGGAGCACTACTAGCCATCTGGCATATCACAGTTTTATCTACTCACTTATTTAGCATCTGTCTCCGCTGCTAGAATGCACAGCAGGGACTATGGCATCCGTAACACTAGGAGAGTTCTTGGCACGCAGGTACTAAATAGATCTTCATCGAGTGAGTGCATAAAGGCACGGTCCAGCCGTGCCTGCCTCTCCTGAGTCATCTGTCACACCAGCCATTCCCTCTCCAGCCTGCAGCCATACAGTGCTAGTGCTGGGCTCCCCCAGTTAGAGACTTCCCTTCCGCCCGAAGGCTCCTCAGCCTCCTCAGCCCCCAGGCTGGGTTAAGTTCCCTCCAGAGAGCTCTCTGGCATCCTGTGTGTTGGTTTGCAAACTCAGGGGCTTCCCTGGCAGAATTAAAAACTGGCCCCAGCCCTGGCTGGTTTGGCTCAGTGGTAGGGCATCAGCCCACAGACCAAAGAGTCATGGCTTCAATTCCAGTCAAGGGCACGTACCTTGGTTGCAGTTCAGTCCCCAGCCCTGGACCTGGTCGGATAGTGTGGGAGGCAACCAATCGATGTGTCTCTCTCATGTCGATGTTTCTCTCTCCCCACTCTATCTGAAGATAAATGGAAAAAAGTATCCTCGGGTGAGGATTTTTAAAAAACAGAAACTGCCCCAACCCAGAGGGCAGAGGACAAGAAGAGACTGAAGAGAGAGGCCGGCCTCTTCGGATTGCTAGACGGCAGGTTTAGTAAGCGAGGCTCTTACCAGGCAGCAGGGAGCCGATTAGATCTCTGCATCCGCCCCCGAGGATCTTGAAGTTTTGTAGAGGCCTCACCGGGTTCAGCCCGTGTTCGGCCCAGATGCTCTCACACACATTGCTCTCTCAAGGCCACATCCTGAAAACAGCTGTGGCTGTGGGAGCTGTGGCCGGAGAGCCGTCCGAGGACAGGAGAGCGGGCGAGGAGCCACTGAGAGCCCGGTCCAGCTCCCAGGTCACCAGCAGTCACATCCCCTCTGCGACCTCCTCCAACGCCCTGTTGACCCCCAGGGATAACTAGGCTCCCCTAACCGACTTCCTCAACCCTGGCTGGGGAGGGAGGCAGGCCGCCCCCTCCCCTGGAGCGTCCCGGCCGCGAGGGTGCAGAAGCTCCCCACTGCTCTGCCTCCGCGGCTCCGGCTCCGGCTCCGGCGGACAGCCGTCCACCAAGGTCACTGGAGCGGGGGTTGCTCTTCAGTTGTCCTTACTAACTTAGCTCTTTCTTTTTCAGTTTAAAAGGGGGGGGGGAGTGAAAATATAAAGAAACACATTGTTGCTAAGAAAACAAATGCTTTTAAGAGTTTAAATTATGCTTTGAATGCTTTAAGAAGATCCAATAAGACAATAGCTTTAAAAAAGCAGTTCTTGGAACTAAATGTGCACCATACATAAAAATTGGGGGATATATATAAAAACATGTTTTAACTCTATAATTCCCAGACTATTTAGAAATGGCTCAAACTGAAAATTATAGATAATAAATTATGAATGTGGTTTGCACAAACCTGATCACAGAGCCCAACATCAGACTACACACAAGGGAAAGACCTTGCCCTACATAAAAGCAGTGTGTCAACACACATTCGCGTGTTAAGTTCAAACATGTTTGAGGTGTGTTTTCTTTGTTAACGACTCCCCACTTTGGCCTATTTTCTCCATTAACTGAATGAGTAGCTGTGCCTGGGATTGGCACGTGGCTGGGATGTCACCCCTCACACCCCGTCTGGGCAGAGCGTCTTTGCCGTGATATCTGGCTTCTAGCACTGGGCTGGCACATCCGTGGGCCCGTGATAGATATGTGTTGACTGAATGAATAAAAAAATGAGAGTCGGAAATACAACCCTACATTTCTCTCTTCAAAGACTTGCTCTTTCCTGGCAGCCTTCCTACCTTGGGGGAATATGGCCCATGTCCCAAACCCCAAAACCCTCTTGAGAAATAGATCTAAGTTTTCTTTTTTCTATCAGACTTATTCAGCTTCAAAACTGCAGAGACGGTTACTTACTCATTTCATTTTTGGAGCCAATCACCACAAATTGAGGAGCCTGAGACAGAAGTCGAAAAACCTCGCATGGTCAGTCCCAAGAGGAAGGCCCTGGAAATAGACACGGAGTGGGTGAAGAGCGACACTGAGGTACGTGCGGCGTGCACGCTGTCTTTACTTCCTGCAGGCGTTCTGGCTCGGGACACGCCATCGGGAGCTGTGGGAACCAACAAGCAGTGTGAATACTCACAAGAAGTATGTGCTCAGTATGGAGGCGCATCTGAGTGCGTAGGCTACCACAGACTAACTAGGATTTTTACTAGGGTTCACTGAGACTCTTCTACCTGAAGACGCCTGTATTTGGCAATTGGATGGAGTTGGGAGGGGAGTAAAGAAAATATATGTTATAATTTATAGGTTCCTCCCCTAATAAATTTAAAATCTATGTTAAAAATTAATCCTATGGCATATGGTGAACAGATAAACTGTGGTACATCCATACAATAAAATATTATCAGTGCTAAAAAAAATAAAGAGCTATCAAGCCATAGAAAAACATGGAAGAGCCTTAGGTTCATATTACTAAGTTAAGGGAACCAATCTGATAAGACTACGTACTGTATAACTTCAACTATATAATATTGATCCTTGAATAAGGTGGGGATTAGAGGCACCAACTTACTGTAAAGTCGAAAATCAAGTATAACGTAAGTCAGCCCTCCATATACGCCAATTCCGAACTGCAGATCAGAAATACAGTGGACCCCTGAACAGCATGAGTTTGAACTGCATTGGTCTTATATGTAGATAAGTGGACCTGCATAGCTCAAACCTATGTTGTTCAAGGGTCAACTGTATGACACTGTGGAAAAGGCAAAAACTATGGAAACAGTAAAAAGAGCGGTGGTTGCCAGGGGCTTGGGAAGAGGCGGGAATGACTAGGTGGAGCACAGAGGGCTTTTAGGGCGGTGAGAATACTCGCGTGATACTGTAAGTGAATACGTATCATTAGACATTTGTCGAAACTCACAGAATGGACACCACCAAAGTGTACCCTAATGTAAACTACAGACTGGGTGACGGTGACGAGTCGGTGCAGGTTCGCGGACTGTGAATGTGCACTGAGGTGTGAGGTGGTACAAGGGGTGGAGAATGTGTGTGTGGTGGGACAGGAGGCAGAGAGAATCTCTGCACTTTCTGTTCAATTTTGTTGTGACCTGCTCTAAAAAATGAAGCCTATTTAAAAAATCAATTACATGGTAATATTCATGAAGATGGATACTATGAAGTCGTAAGTGAAAACTGGTCTCAAGCCTTGGCTGGCTGGGCTCAGTGGTTAGAGCGTCAGCCCGTGGACCAGAGAGTCCCAGGTTCGGCTCCCACTAAGGGCACATACCTCGGTTGCAATTTGTCCCCGGCCCCAGATGGGGTTGTGTGGGTGGCAACCACTGGATAAGTCTCTCTCACATAGATGTTTCTCTCTCTCTCTTCTCCCCTCTCTCCCTCCCACTCTATCTGAAGATAATTTCCTTGGGTGAGGATAAAAAAAAAAAGAAAACTAGTCTCAAAATATGAGTCATTCAGAGTGAGTTAATAATCAGATCTGAAGCTCAAAAAGGAGGCATTGGAGTGGGGATTGGGAAGGTGTGATGACTCTGTGCCTTCTGTAAATATCTATTGTGAGTCCATCATGCCAGGCCCTCTTCTAGGTGCTGAAGGTAAAAGGGCAAACAAAACAAAGCCTCTGTGCCCAGAGATCTTAGTGTCAATTGAGGACACAGCCAATATACAAAAACACTGTTCAGTGTTATGCCAGGTATTGGCAGGTGCCATGGGAGCCAAGGCAGCAACAGGGGCTCTTGGGTTGTTGAGCTGAGACAGGAGTTGCACTAATTCCTCTAGGGCACTCCCAGAAGTGCCGCTGGAGCCTAGGCATGCATGAAATGGGGGGTGAGCCGTGCAGCTACCGGGCGGAAGGGCATTCTAAGCAGAGGGATAGGGGATCAGCTCAAGTGCCCGGTTCCGGGAGAGTCCCGTGGGTCATAGTGGGTCATGGATTTTACCCTGAGAATGAGGTGAAACCAAGTCTAAGGCAGGGACAAACATCATCTGACTCATGCTCTAGAAGAGTCTTTCCGGCTACTGTATGGAGAGGGGCAAGAATAAAGGCAGAAAGTCTAGTTGGGAGCCAGGGCACACATTCAGGTGAGAGGCTCCCTATTGGATTAGAAGTAAAATGTGAGAGAAAGAGAAGACAAAGAATAAATCTAAGAACTTTTGCATGAACAACTGAGTGAATGTTATCATTTACTAAAGTGGAGAACACAGGAGACTAATGGAAACTAATTTTTATGTAGCATCATGCAGGTTAGAGAGCATTTCCACGTATAATGTAGCTTTTCCCAACAATTCCTGTGTGACGAGTGTGGTATTACTGTCCTCACTTTATAGTAGAAGAAAGTGAGACCCAAAAGAACGTACAGGATTCTCAGAACGCTGAGCCCGTGTTGGTCAAGGCAATGCCCATGAGCTGCTGAGACACGATTCCCAAAGCTAATAACCAGATGCGAGCTTCTTGCTCATGTCACACCTGACTGGAGTCTTGCCGCTCTCTGGGTGCTCTCCTGGAGGGGGCTCTGCGGGGTCCGGGCCCTTTCATCTCGGGGCTCCACCACCTTGGAGCTCTCTGTGTCCAGCTGCATGGACAGGAAGTGAAGCCACGATCCAGGTTAAAGTCCATTAACCAGAAGGAGTCACATGACCCCATCTAGATGCAAGGAGGCTGTGTGTCCAGCGGAAAAGGAAAACCATTTGCACTAAGAGGAGAAGCAATCAAACATCTTTCAGGGATGAGGGTGGCCTCACTTGTGGCAAAAACATAAGAGCTGGAAACTGACAGTCAGCCAAGGAGTGGACACTCCTGGCCTCCAGAGAAAGTGTGGGAAGTTCCGCTTGGTATCCCTTCATCCCTGGGCCTGCAAGTAGAAGGGAAGTCGGTGGGACCAGCCAGGACTCCCGCAGACAGAGGACTCGAGGGCGAGCCACACTCTTCAGGTTGTAACAGACCACGAGCAGTGAGGGTGTTGGAAGCCCCGAGAGAGGCCTTCAGCTTTCTCATCTCCCTGGCCTCACCCCCAGCCCACTGATGAAGCCTTCCTTGGTCTCGCTCCAGCCAGGCTAGTGAACTCCCTGCCCTGTGCTGCCTCGGGGCTCCGGCTCCTGCAGCATCTGTCCCCCACATAATCTTAAGTGTTCTCCCCGCAGCCCAGAGGAAGGTGCTCACACAGCTCTCTAAGCAGAGGATCCTTCCTAAGCCACCAGACTCCCCAAATGTCCCGGAGGAGGGGGGCGTTGGGTTCTTTTTGTTTTCACAAATGGGCAGTGAATCTGGAGCAGCCTGCTGAGTCAGGGGAGTACTGCTCACGGGTGTCCTGGTGCTGGTGCTGGGGCCAAATCCCCGGCCAGCCCGGAGCCAGCCACGGGGTTCACAGACAGACGCAGCAGAGCAGGCGCGCAGACAGACAGACAGCAACGGCTCCCAGCCTGTGAGCTCTAGAGCTGAAGCAAGGGCCAGGGACGTGGTCCCTTCTCACTCAGCCTCACACTCTGTCCCCAAGAAAATGGTGATGAGATTGGGCTCTTGGCACACCAATTATTATATGATGCAAATGTCTGGTGATGCCACTGTAAACGGACCTACGGTGCTGCTGGTCGTACAAAGTACAGCGGTGTGTGCACCCTGAGACGGTCCCGCAGTGACGAAATCACCGAAGACGCTGTTCCTCAGAGCGTGTGCCTGTCGCTGAGTGGCACGTGACTATAATTTCCCAGCGAGGGGACGTGTAAGGACTTCACCTCTGTGTCAGAGTTGCAGCTCGGCCCACGGGTCCTCATATTAGGAAGATGTCACTTCACGGCAGGTGAATTTGACAAGCAGCATCTTGAGAAAGTCTGGCTTTCAGGTGGCTTTTGAAAATAAGGCCTAAAATACAAGCATCCTCTTCCATGAGCAATATCCAGAAGCTTTTTACAGGCCATGAGGAACACACCAACCATAGCTGTTCTTCCAAGGCACGTTTTTAGGTGAAAAGGAAAGAGCGGTGATTGGCCGACAATGTGCAGGGTGACTGGAGGCCGCTGTTCCCACGCTGGAGCCTGCAGGCTGGGGGCTCTGCTCTCACTGGTAACCGTGGAAGTCAGCCTCTCTGAGGGGGACAAGGACAGCGCCTGCTCTGTAGGTCACTGTGTCGAGGGAGGAAAGTGCTCAGTGCATGCGGTGCGGGGAGAAAGACGGCTGGAGGGTCTTCTCGCCTCCTGTAGTGGTTTTCACCCAGATGCCCAGGTCCCTGAGCACTTAGCGACTGTGCCCTGGAGAGAAAACAACTCCTCAGACAGCTGCATTTCTTCCTTTTATTGTCTCAGATGTTGGCATTCTGCTGCAAGCTTTCTTGAACAAAGGATTCTTCGGCTGTTTTAAACAATGGTTAGAAAATCACTGTCTGACTTGTATTTAAGTAACTGGAAAACTAGATGACCTAAAAAGCCAGCTCCAAACACCTGGGAGATTTAGACGAGAGGTAAACAGTGTTCCTGTCGGCGCAGAGCAGCCTGTGAGAGAAAGTAGGGGAGTAGTAACCAGGTGGAGAGAAACTGGAAAAGCAGGGGGAGAATGTGAACAAGGGCTTGTGTGATGGGGGGGGGGGGGGCAGGAACCGTGTCTGGACAACCCGGGAGCTCAGGTCCTAACACAGACGGGAGCGCAGGACGCCTGCAGGACACGCATTCCTTCCAGCACACGGAAAGAGCTGTGATGACTGATCACACACGAAGCCAAAACGAACTCAGCAAACATTAAAGAGTTGATATGTAGACTATGTCTCTTATCCCAATGCTTTTTAATTAGTGATACTAATATATAACCAAAAGCAACTGGTATGTTGTACACTTAAAAACACTTGTAAATAACGTGTCAAAGAAGAAATCATATTGGAAATTTTAAAACATTTAGAATGGGATGAAAGGTAAATATCTACATTCATGGGAAACAGCTAAAACAGTATTTTAAGAGAAACATTATAGCTTTAAATGCTTATATTAAAGAAGGAGGAGGAAGAGAAAGACCAAGAAGAAGATAAAAACCAATGAGTTAAACATTCAAGAAATTAAAAAAATAAAATTGCCCTGGCCAGTTTTGCTCAGTGGTTAGAGCATCAGCCCACGGACTAGAGAGTCCTGGGTTCGGTTCCCACTAAGGGCATGTACCACGGTTGCAGTTTGTCCCAGACACCAGTTGGGGTCGTGTGGGTGGCAACCACTTGATGTGTCTTTCTCACGTCGATGTTTCTCTCTCTTCCTCCCGCTCTATCTGAAGATGAATGCAAAAATATCCTCGAGTGAGGATACCAAAAAATAAATTAGAAAAATAAAATAGAGTAATGTAGAAAACCCACAAAAAGTAGAAGTATATAAATGATAATGATGCCCTGGTCTGTGTTTCCCAGTGGTTAGAGTGTTGGTTCTATGCACCGAAGGGTCTCAGGTTTGATTCTCAGTCAAGTGCAGGTACCTGGGTTGCAGGTTCTATCCCCACCCCATTGGGTGTGTGGGGGAGGCATTCAATCAATGTGTCTCTGTCACATCAATGTTTCTCTCTCTCTCTCTCTCTCTCTCTCTCTCTCTCTCTCTTTCTCTCTCTCTCTCTCTCTCTCTCCTCTCCTCCCCCCTTCCAATCTCTGAAAGAAAAAAAAGGAAAAAATATCCTGGGATGAGGATAAACAAAGAAATAAACAAACGATAATGATAAGAGCAGAAATTGGTACAATAGAAACCAAAAAAAAAAAAAAATAGAATAAAAAACCAAAAGCTGGTTCTCTGAAGACTAATAAGATGAACAAATGTTCAGGCAAGGTAGATCCAGGAAAAATAAAAAGAGGGAAGGTATTAATAATACCAAGAATGAAGACAACGATATAACTACAGAGGCAGTAGATTTTTTTAAAACATGATATGAAAAATTTTTATAATAATAAATTTAAAATTTTATATTAAATGAACAATTTCACCCTGACCGTTTTGCTCAGTGGTTGGGGTGCCGGCCAGCTGATTGAAGGGTCGTGGGTTTGATTCCCAGTCAAGGGCACGTACCTGGGTTGTATGTTCGATCCCCAGCCTCAATCGGGGTCATGCAGGAGGCAACCAGTCAATGTCTCTCTCATATCAATGTCTCTCTCTCTCCCTCCCTCCCTCCCTCCCTCCGTTCCACTCTATCCAAAAATCAATGGAAGAATGTTTTTCAGTGAGAATTAACAAAAATAAAATGTAAATAAAATGAACAATTTCCCAGAAATACATAATTCATTCAAACAAATTCAAGAAAAAAGGAAAACCCTGAATATTCCCCTAGAAAGAGAAATATTTAGGTCCTGACCCCCAGTGCCTCAGAAGGTGACATTATTTGGAAAATTGGTATTTGAGGATGCAATTACTTAAGACGAGGTCATCCAGGAGTAGGGTGGGCCCCTAACCCAATACAACAGGTCCTTACGGGAACACGTCCACCTGGAGACACAGGGCGGGGGGGGGGGGGGTGCAGGAAGGTGGGGCAGAGCTGTACAGAGCGATGCAGGACAGCCAGGGAAACGGATCTCCAGCCTTCGCCAGAGGTGGGAAAGAGGCATGGAAGAATTCTTCCTTGGAGCCTCCAGAAGCAACCAGCCCTGCTGGCACCTTGATTTCAGACTTCTGACCTCCACAGTGTGAGAGAGTACACTTCTGTAGTCTCAAACTACTGTAGGTCTTTGTTGTGGCAGCCCGAGGAAACAATCCACCAATAACCACTAGAATGGTCAAAGTGACAGCTCAAAATCTGCATGTGTGGACTCACACACGAAATCCATTTCAGCCTCCTCTCACATGGGCAGTAAGCTGAGGCCCTGAGAGGTTTCCCGTACAGATTTCCTAGCAGGTCGGGGTAGTGATGGGCAGGATGGGCATTCGGAGTAAGCGGATAGGTCCCAAGCGCTCTCGGGACAACCCCATGCTCTGAATTGGGACAATCAGCCCCTGCACACTTTTCACAGGCTTGTCTTTTCTTCCCAGGTGCATCAAGATGATGTAAAATTAATTCTCTACCCCAATGAGAGTATCTTCCGAATTCTGTTTCCTGATGGATCAGGCCAGATCCAGTATCCACTGGGGCACAAGGACACAAACTGACACCTGTGGCACCTAAGAAGGCTGGGGCTCCGGGGGGCATGGCTTTCCTAAGGCCTGCACCCTCCACAGGGCTTTGCTTGTCCAAGGGGATCCCCAGGGACTGCTTGTGCCTTAACAGTCTTCCAGTTACCCGTCAGGAAACCTGGCTATGCTCATCCTCCGCACGAAAGAGAACAAGTTCACATACATCATTCTGGACGACACCGAGGACGATGAAGAGACATGTGTGCGGGCCCTTATCAACAACGCTGGCCATGCCACCTTCTATGACGAGAACAGAGAAATCTGGTAAGCCTGGCTCGAGAGTCCCAGACGCTTCTCCCCATGAGGAAGCAGTGTGGCTACGGCTCGATTCATTCTCTCTCTCTCTCTCTCTCTCTCTCCTTTTGTCTCATTCACTGCAAATTCACTCATCCAACTCACACGTGTCGGAACGGGGAGATGGGCATCACGTGGACCAGTGAGACAGGCCCCTGAGCTCAGACAAGGCGCAGTGACCTTGTCCCACCTGTTTCCCCACGGGACAAATAGCAATCACAGACTCAATGCAGCCACTTCTACTGGCTTCATCTCCTTGACACCTCCTGAGAGACAAACCTCATGACAGTTATTCTAGGAAGCCCCCTGGGTGCTCTGTTCTGGGCCTCAGAGAGGAGGGTGTGGTGAGCGCTCTGGAGACACGTATTGTATTCAAAAATATATTCTAAATATTTCATTGTAACTGGACTTAGTTCTTAAGTTCCCATTTCTGGTAATGGTGGAAAATGTCATCTTACCAATTCAAGGTAATTCAGTCCCTTCTAAATTTTTGCCCATCTCTGTGGGGTAAGGACTCTGCCTTCTCAGGAATTCCTGCCCCCTGCGTTCTGAGTGGACGTGTAGTGGAGACACACACTACCTTGGATTGGTGTGACACGTTCTTTCCTATTGGCAGTCAAAGCCAAACTGTTTTCTTTTTCATTCCCCAACTCTACCCCACCCCCACAAAAAAGGATCTTCACAATCCAGGCCCTGGTTTTTAAGAATATTTTCTCTGCCCTGGGTTTTCGGCCCCCTTCCTCGCTGACCGCTCGGTCCGCAGCGTGTCCGCCCTCCCCGGAGGGCCCTTTGAACAATGAGTCTGAAAGCGGACGAAGGTACTGGATACGGAAGCACCACGTAGTGGGGGAAAGACATCAACTAATCATCCAAATGGCATCTGGCCACGCACAGGTGGGCCCCTTCTCCCTAATGGCACACATTTTAGAGCCAAGAGATTCTTGGAAAAGTCTACTTTCATTTTCTTGATGAGAAAACTGAGACTCAGAGAAGCTGATAAGTCATTTGCCCTGAACTATACACAAAATTACAAGCAAGAAGTTTTATGTTATTTTGACTCATCTTGAAATTAAACTTTTTTTTTTAAAATTATCAAATAAGATGTGCAAGAGAAACCACATCTTATCCCTGAACCTCAGCCCATCCCCACCCGGAGGGAAGGAGGTGTTCTGTGCCCGCAAAGGCTGCCCCGCGCAGGTCCCCATCCGTCAGTGTGGGAGGGGCTGGAGGTCTGTGCTCCCTAAAAGCTTTCCCTGTGGTTGTGCCGGTCAGCAAGGTGGGGGACCCCAGGCCAGCATGCCTTCCACTGGGCCTTCGAGGCTTCGGAAAGCAGCCGAGGCCTGTGAGCTGGCAGCAGCTGTCCGTACTGCCCTGTCTGCCAGGCATGCCCCCCCCCAACACACAGTAAGACAAAGATGGGCCCCCCCACACACACACAGTAAGACAAAGATGGGCCCCCACACACACACAGTAAGACAAAGATGGGCCCCCACACACACACAGTAAGACAAAGATGGCCCCCCCCACACACACACACAGTAAGACAAAGATGGGCCCCCCCACACACACACACAGTAAGACAAAGATGGGCCCCCCCACACACACACACAGTAAGACAAAGATGGGCCCCTCACACACACACACAGTAAGACAAAGATGGGCCCCCCACACACACACAGTAAGACAAAGATGGGCCCTGAAGGAAGTGCTTCCGGCTCCTCGTTTAGTCGACAGGAGCCACCTCCAGTCCGCCCCTGGGGTCAGGAGTGCTTGGCCCTCGTGCTGACACCCAGCGCTCTGCTGGGACTGCAGGAAAGCCTGGTCCTCATGAGGAAACGGGCCCGACGTCCTGTCCTGGGGGACAGAGTGCCCAGTGGTCCGTCTGTCCTCCCCAGAACACACTTGCTTCCAAGCCTCAGGCATGAGCCTCGGAGCCATTTCAGGGTCCGGGAACCCCGACCTTCTCGTCTCCCACCTCTCTCCTTGGGAGTTTTTCTGAAAACTGCTCACCACTTCACCATCCATGGTTCCCAAGACGGGAGATATGCCCGCAGCGTTCCCTTCCGACGCCGGGCTCCCGCCCTGGGGGAGCCGGAGGCTGCCCCGTGTTGGAAGAGGCTCAGTGAGGCTCAGAGTGGCCTTGAGTCTCTGCAGACTTCGCGTCCTGCCTGCCGGGCCACAGCCCAGGCTCCACTCCTCCACCCCCGGCCTGGCCCCTCTGCCACCCACAGGCGGGACAGACCTCTAGCCCCAGGAGCGAGGAAGGCCCAGTGAGAGAACACGGGCAGGAGCCATCAAAGGGTTCGAGGTACAGGGATCTGCGCCCCCACCGGGTGAAAGAAGACCCTCCGCTCTGCCCTCTTCTTCATCAATGATGAGAAAATTCTAATATCGACCCAGTTAGGGCTACGCATAGGTATTTAATCCTCACAGCAACCCTCTGAGTGAAGTACTATTATTATCTGCAGTTTGCAGTTGAAATTGAGGCACAGAGAGGCTAAGTAACGGGCCCAAGGACACACAGCTTGATCTAGGCTCTGAACTTGGAGAGTCTGGCTCCAGAGCCCACATTTTTAATTCCTCACGTGCACACAGCCTCTTGGCTAAGCAGAGAGAAATGAGGTTGGCCAGGCTGAGGCCGATGCTGAGGGACTTGGACTTTTGCTCTTTGTTCGGTGGGCAGTGGGAGCCACGGGAGAATCTGCTGTTGGGAGCGACTAGAAGTGCTCCTGTCGGAGGCGAACAAGGCTGGCCTCCCCCTCGGAGCCGGCCTGCAAGCCCCTGGACAGCCCAGAGGAGAGCTGGCAGGTGGTCTGAGTAACCCAGACTCCTGCAAACCCTACATCCTTCTGACGGGCCCGGGTCTCAGATTCTCTTCCTCTGCATTCAGTCCTCGAGAGGAGTTGCTGCCCCAGCACAGATTCTAGGGTCAGCTCTGGTGGGATTTGGAAGCAGAAGCCGGGAACAGAGGGGTATGGGGTGGGTTTCAAATGTCAGAAACGATGGCTCTTGAATGAGTAGGGCCTGGGCTGGGGGAGGGAGAAGCCCATCCACCCCTCACTCATCCAACACCTGTTTGTGTGGGTGCCAGGCACAGTGCTGGGCAGCAGGGACTCATCGGGGACCCAGATGGACGTGGACCTTGCCCTGCAGGCCCATGTTTTACATTTACGTTTCAGTAAGCAAACAGAGACGATAAACAGGTACAGCTGATTCTCATTGTTCAGTCCCCACGGACACTGTTCGTGAACACGGGACTCTGCTCGAGGGGAAGTGTGTGTGTGCGTGCGTGTGTGTGTGTGACAGCCCCGAGCGTGGGCAGAGCGGGGAGACATTCGGCCTCCTGATGACCACATCCCAGCTGAGGCCCGAGGTGCCTCTGGTCCCAGAGGACGGAGCCAGGAAGGCAGGGCAGGGTGGCGCCGGTGGACTCTACCAGGATGGGTTGCCAGGATGGGTTGCTTTTAGGATTTAAGATTATCTAGGCAAGATGGACACAGATAGTGACGTTTCTCCTAGGAGCAGTGGGCTCAGTATTCACTCAGTGTTCAAGGTGACTTTATAGACCCTAACTACATACCACAAGTAACAAGAACCCTCCGTATGTGTTACTAACGTACACAGAGGGAACTAACGGGCGGAGGCGGAGAGTGACACGGAGCCGGAGGGGCGGGGACAGAGGGCCCCTCCGAGAGCCCAGGACAGCAGGAGCCAGCTGTGCCAGGCGGAGGGGACAGCGCGGAAAACCTGAGCAGGGACGAGCACACAGCCCCGGACAGGAGGGGAGTGGACGTGAGGGGCCAGGGTGCGGGACCAACTGCGGTCCACACCGCACCTCGTCGTGGGCTTGCCTCCTGGTCAGAACTTCGCCCGCCTGCCAAGACCCGTGGGAGCCTGTGGCCTGTTTGTGGGCAAAGGTTGAAACAAGAAAGGGAGCGAGAGGGAAGGAGGGAACAAGCCTGTGTCGCCCCTTGTCCCAGGGCCAAGTGCCCTGGCTGCCCGACAAGACTTCTTTTTTCTTTTAAATTTTTTTGTTAATCCTCACCTGAGAATAGTTTTTCCATTGACTTTTAGAGAAAGTGAAAGGGAGGGAGGGAGGGAGGGAGGGAGGGAGGGAGGGAGGGAGGGAGGGAGGGAGGAAGAGAGGGAGGGAGAGAAACATCGATGTGAGAGAGACATCAATTGGTTGGCCCGTGCTGGACTGGGGCAGGGATCAAACCTGCAACCCAGGTACCCCAGGTACGTGCCCTTGACTGGGAATCGAACCCACGACCCTTCGGTGTGCAGGCCGACCCTCTAACCACTCATCCACACTGGCCGAGCCTGATGGGTCTTCTTGATCTAGGTTGAGCCTGAGCCAAAACCTGGGCTACTACTTTGCCAAAGGCAAGCCGCAGAAGGCCTGGAACTGGTGGGACCTGGGTCTCCACGTGCACGCGCCCCCCGTGCAGCCCGTCTCCCTGGACATCAACCAGCACATCAGGGTGCAGGTGCGGAGCCAAGATCAGGTCATCTTCTGCTTCATCCACCCGTCAAAGCACATTTGCTTGAACATGGGCACCAAGTACAAGGTAAGGTCTCAATCCCCACACCGCTGCTCGCCCAGGCCGGCTGCGGCTCCTGGGACTGGCCCATGCCAGGCCCGCGCCGTGGTCTGCATGACTCCAACCAGACCCACAGGCCGCCTCCCCTGACCCGATGCTCGACTGTCCACAAGGCATCCATTTCACTTCCGAACACCCCGAGGGGCTGCTCTGCCGACACTGCCGTCCTGTAATTGCTCAGCCACACGCCAGACAGAAAAAATCCCCAAAGGTATGGGCATGCGTTACCTGTCTGACACTCACTGCAGCCCGGTCAGACGGCAGGGCCAGGAACAGCGCGGACCTGTGTGGCCCGACCCTGCTGGGGGTGTCTTCCTCTCCCCACATGTGCTCATCTTAAAAGAAATGACGGCCTGGGAGTGGACGGCCCCTGCCCAGGCCAGGTGGTGTCCCAGAGGGATGTCAGCATCCTCGGGCTGCTTAACAAGTTACCACAAACTGGGGCTTACGGCAACAGACTCGACTCTCTCACAATTCTGGAGGCCAGACGTCTAAAATCAGGGTGTCAGCAAGGCCACCCCAAAGGCTCTAAGGGAGAACCCTTCCTCGTCTCCCCCAGCCCCCGGTGTCCCTTGGTCGGTGGCAGCCTGGCTCGGTCTCGGCCTGTCTTCACATGGCCTCCTCCCCCGCGTCCCTGTGCCTCAGTCTCCCGCTCCTCCTCTCACAAGGACCAGACATTGGATTCCGGACCCACCCTCAGTCCTCATCCAAGGTCCTTGACTTCGTTACATCTGTAAAGACTCTGTTTCCAAATACAGTTACATTCACAGACTCCTGGGGATTAGAACTTGGGCATGTCTTTTGGGGGCCACGACTCAAGCCACTATAAATGGTGAGCCTGGACCCAAGCGTTCTCACTGAGAGAGCAAGAGGGTGGACTGTCGCGACCCTCCCGGAGGACCGGTCAGGGGAGGAATTAGGCAACCTCAGGTGGCCTGGGCCTGGGGGAGTCGGAACCTCTCCGTCCACACAGCCCTGCCCGTCTGTCCCCTTAGCCGCCCCTGAGGCCCACATAAGACCCTGCCTGCTCCAGCTCCCCTTCCCCCTTCCACACAGGCCGTTTGCGGACCCACCAGAGGGGCGCTCAAGGCCCCCAAAAGTAGGACTGCCCGGGGAGACAGACCGAAGGACATGTCTCTTGGGAAGTGATCAGGCAGAGAAGCAGGGGACGGAGAGGGCGGGCAAACAGCAGCGGGGAGCACGGTTAAGCTGAGGGCGTTACCCGAAAGGAGCGGAGGGGATGACCGGCCACCCCAGGCTGCCCAGGACGGGCTTTCCAGGACACGGGACTGGAAGCTAAAACCGGGGCAGCTCAAGCCGCGCACCCTGGGTTCCCTTGACTGGGGGAGGGGGGGGGGCTGCTACTTTACAAGCTAAATAATGAAGCCGCAGCCTTTTCACTTACCCTGGGTCTCCCAGGGCTGCCAATGCAGTGAAGGGACGCTGTGTACTTACGGTCTACCCCGAGTTTGCCAGCTGCCCCTGCGCGGTGGTGACAAGCCAGGAGGGGCAAGTAGAGTGGAAAGGGCATGAGGACCTGGGCCTTCAAATAACAGTGGGGCTCCACAGGGGGAGGAGGGTCAGCAAGGGCGTGTGAGTGGCTGGTGTGGACAGAGTCTGGTGCCGGTGGAGAGTGGGCCCCACGAGCCGAATCGGCACAGAGGCGACCCATCGGCAGGGCCCTCCCAGGACATGTAGCAGGGTGCCTGGAGAACACGCCAGCCCCTCCACTTCCACGGGACACCAGGCAAGCCTCGTGCTCATGCTGAGCCGGTTGTCGTTTATAAAATGACAGTGTTGTTGTAAGGCTTTATGTGAGAACATCTGATAAACTGGGTACTTCGCAGAGCTAGAGCACGTTGGTACCACCCGTCAGTGTTCTCCCACCTCCAGGAGGCCCATTGCTCGGCATTTTGTAGCCATAAACCAGGCCAGAACTGGGTGGAGGTGCCCTCATGGGCAGTGCCTCAGCCCCACGAAACCCAGACCACTCCAGGGAACCCGGGGGGAGGGGGCGCTCATCAGCAGACACTTGGGACATCTCCCCGTAGTGACAAGGCCTCTGTGGCAGGGAATCCATGGGGAGAAGCCAGATGTCCCCAGGAGGCACAGCCTTTGGCAGGTAGGCCACCCAGGTCTCAGGAGCTTGGTTTGGTTCGAGCTGGGGTGTGGCCACGCACAGGCCCAGTGTGTGTGCTTGGGAAGCGGCAGAAAGGTTGCCAGCGGCCGGGCTGGGAGCAGAGACTTGCCCCAGAGAGTTAAGTTTCCAGGGAAGACTCAGTCCTGGCCAGAGGCCTGGGGTCAGGAGCACCGTGCTGGGCAGTGCATATCCCCACCGGGCTCCCCCTGAATTCCCACAGTTCATACTCCCGGAGACGCTGAATGAAATGAAGAACAAAGCAGTCCTGGAGGTGGAAATCAGTTCAACGGCCCAGAAGATGCAGAACCTTTTGGTGAAAATGAGTAAGATCCTGAATTTCCTGACCATCTGCGATTTGGAAAGGTTCTTGGAGGACACCAGTATCTTGCTGATGGGTGACGCGGGGAAAAGTGTTGGGTCCCAGATGAGGGTGCTCAAAGCATCATCCCAGGGCTTCGCCAGGACCTACTGAATGTCTCTGGAAGGTGAAGTCGGGAGCACCAAGGAAAACCCATCTTTTTCTGTCTTTGGAGAGTTGTTTTGTAATTTGAGACCTGTCCCAGCAACTTGGTTTGAAAAGTGTTTTGGGCTTGTGACAGAATCTGTGGCTGGGGACAGAAAAGACGCCATAGCAGCCCAGACCTGACAGCGGTAGGGCGAGCTGGTCCGGCAGGCAGCACACGCCGCCCTGTCCTGCGGGCTCCGACTGGTCACTCAAGTGCAGAAGTTCTTCTGCGACCTTCCTGTACTTGGGTTGACTGAGGACATGGACTGTCTCTAAGTCTAGCTTTGCCAAGTGCTGGCTGTACGACCTTGTGCAAGTAGCTTTATGCCTCAGTTTCCTCATCTGTACAACGGGTCTGGAAATAGTAGCTCTCACTAACCCTGACCCCATCACAAACACCTCCTCTCCCACCCCCACCAGGACAGACGGAAACCCAGACAGCAAACCAACGCTGGCCTGCAGCAGGTCCCCAAACCAGGAGTCAATTGAAGCCCGAAGAGACCCGCACTGACCTCCCCCCCCACCACCAATAGCTGGGACCCTTTTGGTCACTAGTAATAGCCACCAACTAGAGGGAACTGAGTAGCGGACGGCAGATGCAGTGGTTCTCAGCAGGGCCGGGCAGAGGCCTCGGGAGCCCGGAGGACCGCATCCTCATCTTTGGGCACCCGTCTGTTGTGAAGAGCTTGCTGTGCACCTCAGTCCACAGGAGCGGTCTCCTGGTCTCTCTCAAAACACCCCGTGGCCTTGGATTGGCCTGGCTGAGCAGGTGCCATTGACCCAGGGTGACAAGCGAGAGTGGGGTTATATGTCTGGTAAGCATGGCTCCCATGGATGCCTGAGCATGGGGGGTGGGAGGGTCGCTTCAAGAACAGGGGGGCTCAAGAGCTGGGCAGTGTCCTTTTAAATCCCTGGGACACGTCACATTTCCACGGGGTGATCCCAACTGCAGCCTAAACCCAAACGGGAAACCCCTTCCAGCCACGAGCCCTTCCAGCCGTGAACAGTGACGCCCAGGCCCACCTCTGTGAACAGTGACGCCCAGGCCCACCTCTGTGCCCTGCTCTCCTGCTGGCCTCACACTGCCACGTCCACCATCCCCCAACCACGACGCTGCGCAGCTGGTGGGTAAGGTGGTAAGGCCAGCAGGGCGTTACACTCACTTCCCCTTGGTGAACAGCGGCATCAGCCAAAACTAGTTACTAAAGTAAGGGACACGGACGGCCACTTGTAGAGGGTCGTTTGCAGGCCAGCCCCAGCACGTGCGTGTGCCCCGGGGCAGAGGCCCCTTCCTCGCGGAGACCAGGCCCGGGGTTGCACATGGCAGCAGTTCTCCTGGGCTGACACCTGGGGCTGCCGGCTGTGAGCTGGAGGGCGCGTGTGCCCCGGGTCAGACCGCCCTGTTCGAGTCTTGGCAGCACCGTTTGCTAGAGGTCCTTGGGCAAAGCAGTGAGCCCCTCTGGGACTCAGCCCCTCGTGTGTCACGGGAGGAGGTGCAGTGAGGCCGCAAGGAGATGCACTGGGCAGGGGCTCCGCCAGGCGGTACCTGACGGGCGCGGTCGCCAGCCCTTTCCTCTCCTCGTCTCCCTCCGCACAAGGCGGGGGCACAGGCCGTGAGCACGGAGCTGGCGCACAGGCAGCCCGCGGCCGCCTCCTGTCTGGTCAGCCCCCTAGTAAACATGTGGTTGCCAACATTTAATAGGGGTAGTTTCCAGCTGCTCTCTAACTGCTGCTCCGTGTCGAAAGCCTGGACAGAGTAACACAACTCGGGCTGTTTCATCAGAAGTGAACACTACACAGGCTGCGAGGGGAATCCCAGCAGCCAGAGGGCCAGGGCCCATGAGTCCCGCACCCTCTGCCTCAGTCGGCCTGGCTGCCCTAACTAAGGCCCACACGGCCCAGCACCTTGAGCAACAGAACCATTGCTCCGTCTGGAAGCTGGAAGTCCAAAGCCAAGGGCTTCCTTCTGAAGGTGCAAGGGGAGGACATGTCATTCCAGGCCCTCTCCCAGCTTCTGGTAGTTCCTGGGCTTGTGGCACCGTACGTACAATGTTCGCATGAAGGGGTGTGTGTGTGTGTGTGTGTGTGTGAAATTCTTCCTTTTCTATGGACACCAGCCCCAATGGCTGGGCCCTGCCCCAGATGCCTCGTCCTCACCAGTGATCTCAGCTGCAACAACCCTGTGCAGTCTGCGGTGCTGGGGGTGAGCACGTCAACATATGAATTCAGGGGGAACAACTCCACACTAACACCCTGTCTGCCTCACACCCCAGCCCCTCCTGGGCCTTCAACTTCCTGAGGGGGCAAATCCTCTTCCTCATCATCATTCATCTTCAGTGACTTGGCAGGAAAAGGTGTTTCTCCTAGAAATGCAAATGAACGTCGTCGGGCTGCTCAATTCTAACCTGTTCGGTTACACACTAGGGCAGCGTTCTCAACCTGTGGGTCGCACCCCCTTTGGGGATTGAACGACCCTTTCACAGGGGTCACCTAAGACCATCGAAAAACACGTATTTCCGATGGCGATTCGTAACAGTAGCAAAATTACAGTTATGAAGTAGCAACGAAAATAATTTCATGGTTGGGGGTCTCCACCACATGAGCTGTATTAAAGGCCGCGGCGTCAGGAAGGCTGAGAACCACGGCGCTAGGGCTTCCTGAGGATGTCATCGGTGAAGGCCTCGAGCAAATGGAGTCTCGTCCTGTGCCTGCAGAAAGTACTAATTAGCCCTGGCTGGTTTGGCTTACCAGTTAGAGCGTCGGCCTGGCCTGCGGGGGTTCAATGCCGGCCAAGGGCATGTACCTCGGTTGCAGTTCAGCCCAGGCCCTGGTTGGGGAAATGGTGGGATGGGGCAGCCAGTCGATGTTTCTCTCTCTCTTTCTCCCCCACCCCCACTCTATCTGAAGATAAATGGAAAAATATCCTCGGGTGAGTATTAAGAAAAAAAGTAATAACTGATTTAGTAGTTACGCCATGCAATAAACATACCCTGTGTGCCTACCATGTGCTGAAGGTCCAAAGAGAGAACAGGTTTCTGCCCTCCGGGGATCAGAGTGGGGATCAGAGACATAAGCAACAGCAGAAGAATGAAATTATTGCTTTGTTAAGGAGCCCAGAGTAAGAAAGAAGAGTCACCCTGGGGAGTAGGGAGGGGTCAGGGCCAGCCTCTGAGCCGGAGCTGAAGAATGGACAGCAGCAGGGTGGGGCGTGCTGGGATTCCCCAGGACGCCAGAGTCTGTGCAGGGACACGGAGAGCGAGCATCTAGGGCACAGGTAAAAGCTACAGCATTTGGACACACGTGGGAGTCTCTTCTAGCTGCACACCCCCCCACCCCTTCCTCTATGGAGGAAACACCCCTGTGAGTACCCATTAGTGGGCAGCAGGGCCCTTCCCGCCACAACAGAAACTAAAAAAGGCTCTATCAGTCAGGGGCCAGTAAGGACCCAGAAACCACACCAGTAACTTCAACAAGGAAAATGTAACAAAATTTAGCAAGTTAATACTAAAAGGGAATTAAAGGAGAACTCTAGGAAATCAAGGGCAGTGTATGAAAGGCAGTGTTCTCCTCCCTCCCTCCGCCGCTCCTGCCCCCTCCCCCCCTCCTGCCCCCTCCCCTGGTCCTTAGAATGCACCCAAGAGGGGATGGAAGAATTTGAAAGCACTAGATTCACACCTGCAGCCTGGGGGCTGGTGGGGAAGTTCACGGTCTGCCAAGGAGCTGGAGCCGGTGCAGAGCACGTGGCCACTAGGTTGCAGAAGCTGCTTCACAAAAACCTTTCTGCTGGGGTGCTGGAAAACTCACTGAGAGTGAATGCCACCAGATTCCATGTTCTGCAGACAGCCAAAATAGAAGGACGAACACACCACAGAAAGAGCCCCCTCCCCTAGGCTTCACAGTGTACCTCCAGCAAAGTCTAATATTGCACCAGCTGGCAGAGGAGACATCTTTTCAGGGCCCAGCTCCAGAATCTCAAAGCAGGGCCAAAAGGGTGAATTTGGAGCTAATGGGCAATAAACCAGTAACTAGCACAGAGGTCGTGTTCCTCCTTGTTCCAGCACTATCCTGAAGCATAGACTATCTCACACACACACACACACACACACACACACACTCATGTCTCACCGGGAGTGATGCCCACCCAGTCCAGGACTCTGCCACAGCCGTGGAGACTGCACCAACTCTCTGCTTCGAGAAAATAAAATGTATCTGTGATGCTTCCTGTTCATATCACTGCTCCTCCAGCATCAGTCTGTCCGGAGCCCCCGTTTCCTTCCAATAAAGCCATTCCTGCTCACGTTAGAAATGATGCCCTCTGTTGCTGGCACTCGAGGTCCCTGACAGACACAGAAGATGAAGGGAATGAGGCTGGACAGATGGGCAGGGGCTGACTGAGGCAGCCTCGTGTGCCATAGGAATTAAAGTTTTATATTCTGGAGAAGGGGGAGAGGGTGTTAATAAGACTAAGCTCTTGTAGTAAAGCTATTTCAATATTCCAAACAAGGATATTGAAAACGAGGCCTGGACGCAGACAACGCACTGGAAATAGAGGAGGGGGGAATACAGAGCCATGCAGGCCAGGAGACGGGCAGGATTTGCAGCAATGGGGTGGGGTAGGGAAGGCTATGTGAGTTGGGCAGCACTGGATTCTTTCACTCCTTCAACAAATACTGAGCACCTACTGCAGGGGCTGTGCTAGGCGCTAGGTATACAGCAACAACAAAGCAAAGCTCCCTTCCATGCAGTTTACAATCTGGGTTTGTGGAAGACAGATAAAAAAACAAATAAGCAAAATATCTCATGTGCTGTATGAAGACAAGGAAGCTAGGCAAGGGGAATTCAGTCTAGAGATTGGGGGTCCCTAAAGTATAGATACAGCAGGGTTTGTGCTGCAGAAGTATTAGTTGTGGGAGGCTGTCCTGTGCATTGTAAAATATTTAGCAATTCTAAATGACTTCTACCAACTAGGAGCCAGTGATACCCCGACATATACCAGTCACGACAACCAAAATCACCTTCAAACATTGCCCTCTGCCAAATGTCCCATGGCAGAGGGCGAGGGAAGGTCATTTCTTGCTGAGAACCGCTGCTGTAGGTCAGTTTAGGGTTTTACTGAACAGTACATGTCTATCTTAGCAAATGTTTCACATACTTGGTAAGAATGTATTCTGCTGTTGCTAGGTATTCTGAATTTAATGAGGAACTCAGGCACACCATTCTATAACTAAGCTACACTTTTTTAAAAAGTCAATGTCATGAAAATAAGCAAACAAAACCTTAAGAGGAGTTGTCTAAAAGGGACTGGTTGGCCAGTGTGGCTCAGTGGTTGAGCCTCGACCCCTGCATCAAGAGGTGGCTGGTTTGATTCTTAGTCAGGGCACACGCCCAGGAAGTGGGCCCGATCCCCAGTGGGCGACATGCAGGAGGCGGCCAATGGATGTTCTCATTCATCGATGTTTCTATTTCTCTCCCTCTCCCTTCCTCTCACTCTAAAATCAATAAAGAAAAAAAATTTTTTTTTTTAAAAAGAGACTGAAGAAACACACAACCAAGTAAAATGTCTGAGCCTGGCTAAGCAGCAGCTATGACACATTTTGGGAGACAATTGAGTCACTAAAATATGGACTACCTATTAGATATTACTGAATCATTTTCTAGGTATAATAATGGTATTAAAGTTACGTAGGAGACTGTCCTTAGTGTGTGGAGATGCTGATGTACTTTAGGGTAAAATATGATGTCTTCAACTTACTTTCAAATCCTTCATGCGTGTATGTGTATACACTGACAATTAAAAGCCTCCTGGTTGAAAATGTGTGGAGGAGTCCAATCTTGTAAGAGAAATTATTTCAGAATGCACACAGAGAAATCCAGAAGCCATGTGCCAACCATTTCATAGCAGTCTACCTCTTAGGGTTCATTATTAAAGACTTTCACAGATTATGCTAAATTCAAACACTACAGAAACGTCTAATAGTAAATATTTTTAATAATCAGAATAGTTTTTAAAACGCTTTATTTTCAAAAAGGAAAATATGTCCTCACTGGACCAGGATTTAACGGGCGCCGCCGTTCGGAGGGCCCAGCAGCGGCTGGAGTTGGGCGCTAGGAGCAGACGACGCGCAGGCGGCAGCGCCAGGGCGAGGCCCCAGGAAGGAAGCGAGGAGGGTCGTTCCTCTTCCTGAGTGACGGTCTCTCACCAAGGCCCCGGGTTCTTTCAGCTACCGGCCCCGTGACCACTCTTTCTCACTTACGAGGTAACAGCAGAGGAGAACTTAAAAGATACGGAGTTGTTAAACCAGGGGAGAATACAAACTGGTTTTTAATGCTACTTCAATACAACTAAATTTCAACACAACTATCTGTCCTGACGGTACTCAGGAAATTGGCAGTTTTGTAAACAAAGAAAAACTTTCTTTCAACTAATGAAACATTAAGATCTTCAGAATGCCTTTCCACAGGGAGCCTCGTGCCAAGAGAATCCACACAGTACACGTAAGCTGGGGACCTCGGAGAGAGACTGGCGGGCGCACCGCCGGCCACACCTGCTGTGGTAACGTGCAGCTCGGGAGATGGCCCTACTGGAGGGGACAGGTGAAGGTGCACAGGATCACTGTTATTTCTTACAACCGCATGGGAGTCTACAAGCTAGCACAACAGAAATATCAATTTAAAAATTTTTTTTAAAGAATCCACACACATAACAGACACATGAGGACAAAGTAGGAAGTAAAAATATTTACTTTTTTTAAAATTCACATTTCTTAAAAACAGTAATTTCTAGCCAAATAATATAAAGCCTTTTAAATTAATTACTTGAAAGTATGTACACTCTTTGTATAAGTAAACACTTGAAACTGTACAGATTCAAACAAATATTCCTTTAGCAAACAGGTTGGACCACTATCACCTGCTCCGCACTTTGTAAGGTGTTTGAGTTTCAGAAATAAAAGATTCAACACGAGAACAAGTGGTCAAATATTTGTATCCTTGAGAACACACTCTGCTCTGTACATCAAATTAAACCAATCATAGTATAGTACAATAATCATGCCCTCATTTCTTTGGAAAGGCTTTTAAAAAATCAAATATACAATATAATACACAAAACTGGGTATTTTACCGTTTATTTCCTTAAACGTGTATTTTAAATAGTAACTGGGAGTAAACAGTCTTCCTATCTCATTCACTTCGTGCCGAAGAATGAAGGTGGATCTTCTTTACCTGCCCGCTTCCCAGAATACAGAGCGCTGAGCTCCCTCAGCAACATCCGTCACCATTTAAACTGAGCTGGAAAACAAGTGCCCTGTTAAAAACGACAGACGTGTACCTGCCTGCACACTGGGTGTCTGCTTTAAGGGATGAAAAATGCTGCTGGTCACGCAGAACGACCTGCTGGCTACATTCCAGAGCCCCTGTCCGTGTTCCAGCTCTAAGCTAGTGATTGAAAAACTCAAAATTCATTTGAACCAAAAAGCAGGCTACATTTACTATGACACCAGAGGCAAAACCAACCCAATTGGAAAATAAGTATTTGTAGGAAAATTCACAAAAGTGCATAATTCATTTGATGATCCCTGATACGGTGTAGTAGCTTTCAGGGCTGGGCCATCCGCATCCTCCTGGTCTTTGTTAGTAAACGACGCGCCGTAGCTGGACAGCGCGGCACTGAACACGGAGAACCAGTCAAACCGAAGGCAGGGTGCAGAGGCTGGTAACCCTGACCTCCAGGCACGGGATACGCTCTTCATCAGGTTTCCTTCGCTCCTTTATGGACCAGATTTGACACACCCTGGTGGTACTCCCCAACCACAGCACGGGCTGCCGTGCCGTGAAGACTACCAGAGACTGCGCCCGAGGAGGCTGCCACTGCTGCTCCCGAACGCCCTGGACCTAGCAACTCAAGGAGTACAGACACTGGGACTGACATTAGCTCCTCGACTCCTGAAGTTAACTCACACCAGAAACACAGGAAAAGGGGCTGGGAGGAGGTAGAACAGGTAAAGGGGGATACGTGGGGGCAGAGAGACCTGACTCTGGGTGGTGAGCACACGATGCAGTGTGCAGATGACAGGTTATAGAGCTGCCCACTTGAAACCTGTATGATTTTATTAATCAATGTCACCCCAATAAATTCAATGATAGTAATACTTTTTTAAAAACACAGGAAGATAACCCCTTGAATTCCCAGGAAAGCAGAATGTGTTCTCAGAAGTATCCAATCCACTCCAAACTAAAACTCCAAAGTGATAGGGGAAACATTACATTGAATGTAGAAATAACATTTCTGGAAGTAAAAAAAAAATAGTCACTGTGGAATGCTCAGTGGTCAAAGTGTTGCCTGTTTCACACTTGAACAACTTACTCTTAGAAGCTCTCTAACTAGCAGCGTTCCCATCAAGGCCTCTGCACTCCACTGCAGACTGCTCACTGCACATCTCAGCTAGAACCACCCCACTGCGTGCCCTGCCCACCAGCCACCTCTTATAAACTTACATTTCTTGAGCCCATGTAAAGGAGGCAATTACCATAGATTAAAAGGGAAACACCCATTTTTAACATTCTGCTTGTATTTCATTCGCAGTCAGCAATGAGTAAGTAGCTCGCTCGTGTGGTTCTCGGGACACTCCTCAAGTCCCTGCAGGCCCGTGACTTTCCAGCCGCTCCTCCCGGACAGACATTCGCAGCACAGCCACAGCCTGGTTATTTAGACACTGACAGTAAGAGGTTCAGCTGAAAAACAAAGGGCAAGGCTGCATCAGTTCTGCTGTGGAATACCATGAGAAAGCTGTTTAGAGCCTCAAACACAGAATGGGAGGACAAGTCTAAGACTTTTAACAGACCGGGAGACATGGCTGTAAGGTATACGCTGGACCTGCAATGCTGTCTGACTTCCGAAGCTGCCCTGGGCACTGAGTTCTGTGGAGGCCGTGGAAAGTTACACTCCATCACCCAAATGCAGACCCTCAACTCACTTGGAATCCAACAAGGATGACAGAAAAAACTATATACCAACACTGACAGGGACAGAAATGCATCTAAATAATCATCCTCACCTTTTTCTATGCAGTGTTTTTGAGAAAAGTTGTGAGACAAACTCTTTAAATGACTCTCAAAAGCATAAAAATAGGCACCACAAGCGAATTTCGGCTCCCACAGTTCAGTTAACTCTGCCTGAACCCAGCGGCGCCCTGCCCACTGGGGGTGTGACAGAGCTGGCCAGAAAACCCAAGAAATCACCGTGGGGACAAGGCAGGAAATGACAGCCTGCACACTGCACACTGTCACCCAGGCAGTAAACATGGCACTGAACCCTTCTATAAAGTACAAACTATTTTGATAATCAAAATAATCACCCAGCCCTGGCCGGCGTGGCTCAGTTGGTTGGAGCATTGTGCACTGGAAGGTCACAGGTCTGATCCCCCAGCTGGGCACTTACGGGAGGCAACCAATCATGTTTCTCTCTCACACTGATGTTTCTCTCTCTCCCTCCTTCTTCCCCCGCTCTCCTTTCTCTCCCTTCCTCTCACTAACATAGATAATAATAACAAAAAAATAACCCCATAACCTCTTGTATCAATTTGTACTTCCAGTGAGAGGAACACAAAATCACCTCTGTGTTTCTCCTAGCCCAAACTTAAAACCTGGATCTAATCATGAGAAAAAAGACAAGTTGGAATTGAGGGACAGACTATAAAATGACTGCCTGCCAAGGTAAAGAAAGCCAAAAAGGCTCCGGAACTGCTCCAGATGCGAAGAAACCAAAGAGCTGGGACACAAGAGCAACAAACACCTGGACAAATCCTGGGTACTGCTGGGGCAACTGGAGGGATCTGCAGATGAACTGTGGGTTACATAACGGTAACAATGCTACAGTTCCTGTCTGGGTCACTGTGCGGGGGTAGAGTGAGAGAATTCCTGTTCTTAGGAAATACACTGAAGTACTTCTAAGTAAAAGAGCACAGTGTCTCCCAACTTCCTTCAAAGGATTTCAAAGAGCAGCGGGGAGAAAGAGGAAAGGATAAAGCAACAATGACAAAGCAAATGGGGCAAACTAAACAACTGGACAAAGTTCCTTATTACCATTCTTGTATTTTTTCCTAAGTTTGAAATTATAACAAAATAAAGTTACAAAAATGTTTCAGAGATGCTCGTTGACTTATGATGGGGTTATGTCCTGATAAACCCACTACAAGTTAAAAATATTGTAAGTCAAAAATGCATTTGAGCCCATCCAGTGTGGCCAGTGGATTGAGCATTGTCCCATGTACTGAGAGGTCCTGGTTCGATTCCTGGTTAGGGCACATGCCCAGGTTACAGACCAAATCCCTAGTGGGGAGCGTGCAGGAGGCAGCCAATCAATGTTTCTCTCTCACATCAATGTTTTTTATCTCTCTCTCCCTTCCTCTCTCTCTAAAATATCAATAAAAACATTTTTTTAAATGCTTTTGATACACTTAATCTACTAAACATCACAGTTTAGCCTAGCCTACCTTAATTTTTTTTGTTTGTTTGTTTTTTTGGTTAATCCTCATCCAAGGATATTTTTCCATTGATTTTTTTTTAGATAGAATGGAAGGGAGGAAGGTAGAGAGAGAGAGAGAGAGAGAGAGAAGCATTGATGTGAAAGAGACACACTGATGGGTTGCCTCCCACCCATGCCCCGATCGGAGCCAGATCACACCTGCAACCCAGGTATGTGCCCTTGACCAGGAATCAAACCACTGAGCCAAAAGAGCCAGGGCAAGCCTAGCCTACCTTGAACATGCTCAGAACACTTACATTAGCCTACAGCTGGGCAAAATCATCTAACACAATGACACAGGGTAGAATATTTGCTGTTACCCTCGTGATCTGGGATCACAGCTCGCGGCCCCTAACCAGCCTCATGAGAGAGTATCACACCACATGTCCCTAGCCTAGGAAAAGATCAAAGTTCAAAATTCCAAGTATAGTTTCTACTGAATGCATATCACTTCTACACTATCATAAAGTTGAAAAATTGTAGTCGAGCCATCATAAGTCAGGAACCATCTGTACTGCCATACATTGGATCTCGAGAAAATGGGTCACTGGAACACTTCACTCGGGGTGGTGAACACACAGTACAATATACAGTTGATGTATTACAGAACTGTACACCTGAAACCTATGTAATTTTATTAACCAATGTCACCTCAATAAATTCAATTAAAGAAAAAAAGGCCCTGGCCGGTTTGGCTCAGTGGTTGGAGCATCAACCTACAGACCAAAGAGTCACAGGTTCGATTCCAGTCAAGGGCACATACTTTGGTTGCAATGTGGTCCCCAGCCCTGGTCAAGGTTGTAATGGAGGCAGCCAATCAGTGTCTCTCTCTCACACGGATGTTTCTCCCCCGCCCCCCCCCACTAACGATAAATTTTTTAAAAATCCTCAGGTGAAGATTTTTTTTAAAAAAGGACCCCTGGCCAGTGTGGCTCAGTGGTTAGAGCATTGGCCCACACACTGAAGGGTCGCAAGTTCGATTCATGATCATGGGCATGTACCTGGATTGCAGGTTCCATCCCCAGCCCCAGTTAAGGCGTGAGCGGGAGGCAAGCAATCAATGTGTCTCTCTCACATCGATGTTTCTCCCTCCTTCTCTCTCCATCTCCTGTCCCTCCCTTCCACTCTCTCTTAAACAAAGCAAACAAAAAAAATCAGTGGAAAATATATCCTCAGGTGAAGATTAATAAAAAAGGGGGGTAAGGGGGAATGGGTCACAAACATTCAAGTTTCAGGGAAATTGAAAATGGGAGAGAACGTAAGAGTAAACCAGAGGGTTCCCTTTTGGAACGAGCCATAGAATTGGAAATACAAGGTTCTGGTTCCTACCATACAGCTGTTGGCCAAGTGACTCACCCTCTCAAGGCTACAGCTTCTTTGTAAGTAAAATAGGGCAAATATAGGAAGGTCAAGTGAAGTTTAAATGAGATGATACATGTCAAATGCTTAGAGCCGTACTTGGCAGCAGGCAATAATGCCAGCTATTACTACTATTATCTAGAAAATGTTAACAGTCCTGAATTAGAATCAAGGCACAGAGAAAATGATGGTTTCTATTAGTGTTTTTCAAACTGCAGGTTGCAACCCACTGGTAAATAATTTAGTGGTTCAAAAGAAAGATGCAAAGCAAAGCAGCTGAGCTGCACATGGTGTAAACCTGTTAAGTTACAGTTATACACACATACACTAATACACGTGGCATTGGCAGGAGACAAGAGGGAACTCAGGAACTCTGTGTTCTTAGTAAGTCCCACCCCACTACTCCCCATTTACCTTCATGCAACTATGACCAGAAAAAAACTTAGAGAACTATGATGAATGGTTTCTATGGATTTGTAACCTCTGAACTCAACGGGGCCTCCTCCTAGCTTTAGCACCTGCTCACTCTCAGTGATGACCTTCCCTCCTGTTTCCCGCACACATGTAAAGCAGTCAGATAACAGATTCCTGGAGTTCCCATCACATCCACCACCTGCCACCTATGCCCACTCAGCCGCCTCTCCACGACTGAATCCCATGCACCTAACAAACGCTCCACCCTCCAACTGCTCGAAAATCCCATCCCCCCTATTCAGGAACATTTTTCCAGGGTCAGTTTTTCCCTCTCTTTGCCCCATGAACATACAAACAGGCATTTCCCCCAACTTTAAAAGTTAAAAAAAAAGGTTAATAACAATCACAAATAAAAAGTTACCTATAGTTTGATAACAGAAGTAGTTATCTATATCCCTATAGATCTATAGATATAATCCCTAAAGAAAATGAAAAGGCTGGTGGGGACCGAAATGGAAAATAAGACATCTCCAAATTTACTCTGAAAACGATGTAAAGAGACTTTCGAAAAAATGGCGGTGGAGTGAATGGAAGCTACACAGACCATCACCCAGGACCAAAATGGATTTACAACAAAAAATAAAGACAAATGGTCAGGAAGGGGCAACCGAAAGGCAGTCTGGAGGACCACATAACCAGGGACAAGGACTCAATCCTGGTAGGCTTGCGAGGACACGAGAGGGGGCCAGGAGCCCACGGTCTGCAATGGCCTGGGCTGGGACCAGGGGACTCGGCTGGAAGCTGCTGCCGCCTCAGCTGCGTCCCACAACCGCGGCTGAGTCCTGCAAACTCGGCTGGATGCTACGCCCTCGGCTGGTGCAGCAGACTAGACTGCCCTTAGCTGGGAGCAGCGCGCTAGGGTTAAAAATCCCAGGTGGCTCCACGACGTAGAGTCTGGACAGAGGATAAATTGGCAGCAGCCACTCACCTTGGGCTTCAGCAGAGGGAGGGCACACTGGACTGGAACTGTGTGGGGACACTCAGGATCTGGAGGGTGCTCAGAGATTTTGCTGAGTGCAGCCACAAAGGACTGTGGTCATCTTACTCCTTCTCAGGGCACTGGGGAGAGGTGGTGGCCCCTCCCTCAGAGATTCAACCCCACCTGGTGGCCATTGAAATGCTAATTGAGGCCCATTATCAACCAGCATCTGCCCCACCCTCGGGAAATCCTCTTACACTGGGCACCTGAGGGAGATTTTCAGGCAACTCAGAAACCAAGGTTATTCAGGTGACCCCTACTAATAGCCTCCAGGCAAAAAAAGCTAGAAGATAACTACCATTCCCTGGGCTAACAACTCTAACCAGGAATGTTAAGACTTGACAGTGGTGTTTAAAGTGGGCCCTCCCTGCCTCATCCAAACCCAGGAGAGGGAGC